GTGATAAGTCGGAGTAAACAAGCACCTGAGTTGCTCTTCCTAGAGAGATATCTTCCCAACCGCCCTTGTGAACGCTCCTCCCTTTGGACCCTGGAACAGCAACCTGGAACAGCAATAGTAGCGCGCCTCGTCACTTTCCGCTATAGGGCGTGCTGGTATTGACCGGAAGGTGTTCCGTATCACTGCGTACGGAATGTCATCACAGTTGAAAATTGTCTATTTCCAATATATTGATGTATGATGAGTTCAGTCCCACCCGGGAAGGCATTAGCTAATAGTTCCACGTAGCCAACGTACGAACAATGTCCTAATAGTAGCAATGGCTTGGTAGACTGGATGTCGCCATTCCTTTAAAGGTAAATCATGTTGCTTTGATGACCTTTCATCGGTCCACGGTCAGCCACGCAATCTCAACGAAGCCGATGGATAGTTAAGCATATCTGTGACTTAATATGTATTCCGATATATGCAATATTCTTTGTCACCTGTACTCGAACACAAGTTGCTCTCCAAGGCTGGCTGGATATCTGAAATTCCCGCCTACTTGACTGGACCTCCATTCTGTTGTGGGCGCTCGAAATAAAGTTGGGTGAGAAGAGCACCGAATTGAGGATCGGAGCATGAGGTGTTCTTGAAGCAGTTAATGTATTGAATGTTACAAGAAATCTGTCGAAAACACTGGATAACAGACACGGAGCTCGAATCGTTGGCTCCATCCGGGTGCATTCGCAGCGGAAGGAAGACAATGCCTCACCACAGCCCGAGCAGAAATAGGTATCGCTTAGAATAGGTTAGCGATGATGGATGAACTAGGAATGTGTCGAGTTGACATCAGAATCACGTAATAACAAGGATGGCATAAGGTGGTGATTGAATTGACTAAAGAGAGCTCGTGTTTATAGAAGAAGAGCAGCCTTGACTTCCTATTCACCCTTCTTCCTGGCCTCGCTTGTCATCGTACTCGATCCGAGAAATTTGCATGCGAGAAGTCGGGGCTTGAGGCCGACTACTTTGACGTTGTCCGAGAGCTTGTCCAACTTCTATAAATGGTTACATCATTAAAGTCACACATTTCTTCTGGAGATTACACGGACGACTACGCTTTGCCCATCGACTCGGAGTGCTGCGCTCGCGAGGAGGCAGTCTTTCGTGCCGTCTAAGGGGTTGAGGGCCCGGATGAGGTGATCCCCCCGCTCCTTTATCATTATGGTTGGACGTCTCGGGCTCCCTCTAGGCAAGCTTAGGAAGGCACGAGGCGGTGTTGAATCGTTCGTTCCAGTCCAATCGTCATCATTATCACCGAGTTGTATTATGTACGATAACTGATAGCTCTATATATTTTATAGCCAACCTGTAACGATAAGGATTGCAGAATAGGTAGTATCACATGCAAACTCATAATGGAAGAATTTCAGCGATGTCTCCATCCAACAACTTCGGTGAAATGTTTTTATCTTTATTGAGTGACTACGATAGATCGGACTTTTTAGCAGGGAGATGATAGTTTTCGATCCTTAGAATCATTTATCAGTGTACTCTAAGTGAGAATCTCCAAATCACCCGGGAGCAACACGGCAGCAAGTAAGTTCGGTGGTGAGAACCTCGTTTTTGAGTAGACATCTGATAGTGAAACGTGATGTCGGTTCGCCTCGTCAAGATAATAGGATCTCGTCTGGAAACATGTCCCATACTCTATATATCTAAGTGTAGACGTTGGTTGATGTGAGATGGTCGTTCTGCCCAGATCAATAAATACTATTCTAATCGTGATCTTCCACAGATACGCATCCATCCAGGCGGTTCTCGATTTTAATGCCAAGTTTCATGCGAGTCAATCGCCTGCTTTATCTCTAAAACTGTTGAGGCTACGAGGAAATACTCTACTTATAAAGAATACTAGCAAGTTATTTGGCTCCTCCCGAGTTCTCCTACCTAGAACAACGTCATCAGGTCGGCCAACTTGTAGTCCAGCACATACAACTAGAGTCGAAACGCCACACATTAACTCCTGAGTGCCTAGTGATTGTCACGTGTCGGCAAGTGCTCACCATCCCGGGAGGACGAGCAGTGATTCTACGAGCAGAACCCCGTTCTAGACTCCACCGACTAAAAGAGCGCCATACACTAGTCTGAAAGCCCACATTCTATCGGGTAGATCGTGATTACTCGGAGTTACAGGGTACCTTTCGGGTTTGATTGTTGACAATGGCGCTGATGTATAGAATTGAAGTTGATCAACCGGCTTTGCTGTTGACATCCTGATCCGATCATAGGTGCCAGGGTACACTAAGATATCTTACTCCCAAGCCGAGACTGTTTTCGAACGATTAATTTGTGGCTTACCCTATAGTCCAAGCTATTAAACGCCTCTCTACCTTTCCTTTGTCAGACCCGAACAGCACTACGTTTTAGTAGCGCACAGTAAGCACCCCAATCTACCACCACACAATTCTCCTGGACCTTGAAACCAACAAACACTTGCCAAGGCGCCGCACAGCCCGACCCTCATGAATCTGCGTTATGATGAGCTAATGTCATCCGTCGTCGCCTGAGACAAACCGCCGAGCAGAGTGGCCCATTCGATGAGCATTTCGACTGGTGCTTCCCCCGGACTGTCGTGTCTAACAGCCTGTTGAATACATGCCTTGGCTAAGAGAAGGCTGGCCCTACTCTTCACCGGTAAGGATAAAACTTCATTCAGCTTGTGGCGGATGGGGCCGTAGCATGTCTAATCCACGTCGTTCAGTAGCGCCAGGTCGTATTGCTGCTTTTCTTGGTCGACAATACGCCACCATCTGCGTATGAATCTTTTGTCCTCGAAAACTTAGTCCTGGATATCTTTCGCGTGACCTAAACGGCAAGCTTCGAGACGCTGAAAATCTCTATCATCCGAGTTCAGCCATCCTTTGTCTGGTCTCCTATCTCTATGACCTCTTTTAGATGTTCAAGAGTATTGTTAAAGGAGATCTCCATATCTCGCCCGAGCTTTCGGTCTGCTTGTCGACGGTGCCAAAAATCGTACCAGAGTAAGTTAGCTATATTTCGTGCCTCTTGAACCCTGTGACTGGCAGTTTTAAGACGACTGGAGGCCATACTGATAAAAACCGTTACAATAGCATGAAAGCCGGCCCACTTATCCCTATGGTTAAGGATGCTCATGCTCAGATGGATATGTTCTTGTGCTATTTCGGTCCGGTTTGGTAAGAATACCTTCAAAATTCTAGTCCCCGCAGCGAGTACAGCCAGACGTGCTTGACCTAGCTGGTTATTCAGAAGTCTGAACTCCATTGTAGAGCTTTGAAGCTGTTTTAGATTATGTCTTGAGTTGATGAGCACTGGAATCGGTCCCGGCTGAAATAAATACAGTGGACGCGAGGCAAAGGAACCTTGTTGTAAATCCTTGCTTTGGCATTTGATCCTCGTGTATGGTAGAATGGCTGAGAGCCACGGCACTTGGCAAACCGTCTGCACGAGTAAATAGGCAAGTGCGGTCGGTCCTATGGGTGATGAGCTTGTAGAGGTACCGCACGACTTTCCAGATATCCATAGAAGCCACTTGACGCCCGGGAATTGGCTGGCGATTATCTTGACTATACTGGCGAACGCACCAACAACCAGCATCATAGTAAATATTGTTATGAACCAGTTAAAGACTAAACGCAACGGCCCAATAAAGGCCACGAGCAAGTTTGCACTGTGTTGTATGGTTCTGCCGAACAGCCGTGGCCAGAGTAGGGTCGCAGGTTGTGAGCCATCGGCACGTGGACGTGGAAGACTCCCATCCGTGGCGACCGAGCTTGCGTCACTTTCATCGTCGTCGACTAGTGTCACTTGAAACGCTGTGCGCTACCAGTTGATAAGGGATGAAAGCCTTTTTGGTTTTTATTTTCTCGGACTTGATGACATCTAGAAGCGGACGGTTGCGATTTTTAGGGAGATCAGGAATCCGGAAGGTTGAAGCTGCCGTGCTATAGGCTCTCTGGTCGGTCAACGTGGGGGAGTCGAGATCTTGTGCACTATCAGTTAGGGATTCGGTAACGTCCGCATAAGCGGCAGAAGGATGAATGGACATTCCACGGTGCTTAACGATACTCGGGCTTGTATTTACTGGCAGTGTTGATTCGGTGCTGACATTGCTGTCGCTGTCGTCGCTGTTGGCTTATCGAAACCATCTAAGATGTCGATGAGGTCCCGCTGTGGCTGCACCATCTTGTCATCCACCGAGATTCATTATCGAAGATGATAAAATATCGATTTGGATTGGGAGATTTATCGAGCTCATATAACAAGACGGAGATATCCTAGACTGAAGAATCTGTCTAAGCGCGTTGATTTCAAGGTTCTAGATGAAATTGAAGTAGGGTCAAGCCGCTCTGAATTCAGACGCAGGTAGAATATACCACGGATTGCTAACCAAAGCCGGAAATTCCTTGGTCACACAAACTAAGGTGCGTGGAAAGAATTCTTCAACCCCTAGTCAACTCCCATGGTCCGTGCGACTCACGTAGTAAACATAGGGCGCAAAGAGAAACTCAGGTTCTGACGAGCTAGATTCGACACGATATTTACTCGGAAAGCTCAAGCTCAAGAGTAATGCGGTTCCGCAGATGGAGTCAACGAAACGAGACCTGTCGGTACTCGAAAGACTAAACTTGAGACAGCATTGTAAAAGAATGAGTTCACACCATCCTGTCTTGCGGATTTTGAAGCGGAAGCTCTAGAAACGACGACATAGTCTTGTCACATTATCATTTCCATTGATTCAGATCACAGATCTGAGTCTATGAAGGTAGCAATTTGCATATTTCGCGGGGAAATAGGTCTTTCTGAGGCCAGCCATGTCCACGAGTACTAAGAACTCGCGAGATGTTTTGTAATCACACCTCCTGACTGACACAAGTTCTGCCTACTCAATCCACAGAGTTCCGTTCGTCACCTAATCGTTTCCAACATTTTGGTTTAATCACCACAAGTTGCAGAGGCAAACCTTAGCCTAGTCATTAGAAAAAGAGCGTCAAAAAGTCACCAAACATCACACTTCGTACTTGTTCTAGATCACGCTGTCTCCCTTCAACGCGAGCTTGAGCTTCCTTGATCCCCTGTTTTTCAGTCTCTTGTAATTTCACGCATACGGACTCGTAAAGAGTCGCAGAATGCCGAGTCGCAGCTTCCATGCCGACTAGAGTATTGGCCAACGGAACTTTCAGACGCTTGATCTCCTTGACCTCCTTCCCGACGGAGTTCAATTTGACCACAAATTGCGCCTGGCTCTCGTCAAGTCGACCGGCCTCGGGAATCGTGTAGAACAAATCAACAATTCGGGAATAACTAGATTGTGAATTCTCCAGCTCGGTAGATCGTGCGTCGACAGCCACAACATATTCTTGCAGTTGGCTGGAAATTCTGGCCAACGCTTCAAGAGCCAGCTTGAGACTTTCCACTAACTCATTGGTAGGTTTTTGAAGATATTCGCGACCTTGGGAGGAGAATAAAGAGTCGTGTGAATGTGGAGCATAGGCTTGTAGAATTCTTTGAACCAACTGTCGCCAAGCTACTTGACATATAAAGGACGGGATTGAAGTGTCAGCAGCAAGGTGGGCGCCGACCGCGAGAACGTAGACACCGCACGAGGAGGAATCATTCTGCTGGAGACATGGCTGGCCTATGAAAGACCATTCTTCCACACTGCAGTACTTTTCGGTTGTCAACCATGTTGTGAAATTTCTCAAGTTAGTCTCGACCCGTTGCTCATACTGCTTACCAAGAGACTTCGAATTGTACCAATGCATTTGTCCAGTTTCGAGGTCCACGATTGATAATGACCAGTGATTATCTAGATGGACAGGCAAAACTAGTCTTCCCGTATCATGCGGTAGTTGAAGATGGAAATTCGTAAACGCCCCGGGCTCAGCATACGTCGACTCAAGGACGACTGAATTTGTGTCATAAAAAAAGGCATTCAAGACATTCTGTAGGCAAGTTGAATTCAACCACGCATTGTCAACTGTCGATTCGATTGCTGTGCATATATGCGATCTTTGACTCGCGGAGTAGCTGCATGTCTCATCTTTTGATGAATAAGCATATTTGGTGTGTTTCGCTTTAGACTCGCTGGGTTCATCGTTGTCGTCAATGAGGGCGACAGCACTGGTTCTCTTGCGATTGACTGAGAACCGTGAAGTACTGGGTGATGATGGAGAACCTGTCGGACACTGTCCTCTAATACCATTGGTCTGGCCAGCATTGCTGGACAACATGAACTCGCGTCTTCCCTTGAGTATACCTGAAAGATGTGAATCCTTTGGCAAGGAGGAGCCGACAGATGTGCTGCGATCTCCTCCTAAAATGGGAGTACCGCTGGCACTCAAATTTCGGTGTCTTCGCATTCCCTTTTTGAGCGAGGCAAGAGGCAGATGAGGCGCTTGTGGTTGGTCACGAATAGAATTAGGAGTACTAAGAAGTCTGGGGCTAGTACCAAATTTGGGTAGAACGCCTGGCTGACGGCTCACGGTGGTTTGCTTGTGAGTCGTCAGACCCAGTCCGAACAGCCGAGCTTGACCATTCTCGGAAACAGTGAGTTCCTCTCCGGTTTGGGGTGAGTCCATCGTGTCTTCATTACCAAAAGGGTCCAGGTCTCTAGGGTCTATGTCGTCCTGGAATCTCTTCCGCGAGAGAGCTTCTTGGTGACGAGTGGTAAAGGTGGCTAAGAATGTAGCTGCATCTGGTATTCCTGTTGAGCAACGGCGCCGGACTTGGTCTGCATGATCGCCCAAGTTAGGGGTGGCAAGGGTCGAGTTTTGAGACTGAGATTCATCCTCATCATCCGACGGCAGAAGTTGGCTCTCTCCAGACGAGGCGGAGTCAGAAGTCAGAATCTGAGAGGCTTTCTGAATATTTCTTGGTTGGAAATGGTTGGCCGATAGAAGCTGTACGACATATTCATTCTCCCAAAGACCGTCCAACGACGTGTTCTTGGAGAGATACGATCGACACAGGCGGGCATATGCAAAGAGCGTACCAGGTTTCTGAGCATTCCTGGAATTGCAGAAGGAATTCTAAACCGCTCGTCACCCTTCCAAACGGTGGCCAAGTCGAGCTTAGCAGTCTTGTCCAAATCCGCCACATACTTGGCACGTCGTTTGTCCAGATTGACACGCGTGAAATGGGCTAATGTGAAATCTGAAAGCAGGCCGTTGGGTGGCGTCCAGATATCTGCAAGTTCCTGTTCAGCCAAAACTACCTGCTTGCAAAGAGCACTGTAGGCGGTCAGGGCCGACTGTGGGATATCCAGGTAGGGCCAGTCGGGAGGCAGCCCAAGTGAAGTCTCTCCCCACATCCTATAGAGAGCCTGACGAGCCTCTTCTTTGAGATCGCGCAGCTTGGTCATTTTGATGTCTTTCAGCTTGGACTCGTTGGAGGACGTGAAAAGGCACGTGAAGCGTGTGGCGTGGTTGTAGCCAAGAGTGTTTATGATGACCTGACGCAAGGCCACGGCCAAAGGTTGATGAAGTGAGCTGTTGTGGTTCTTGAGCCCGCTTGCGATTTTGGTGAAGACAGACGAATGCTACTCGTCCGGTACCTCGGCTAGTTGCGACTCGATGAGTTTTTGGCAGAAGGTAGGAGTAGGTTTGGACGACGTCAGACGGTGTTCGAAGCCTCTAGTCAGAATCGCTTGGGCGATTCGGGTGGACTTGGAAGTAGAGTTGACTTGACAGTCGGCTCGTGATCCACGTTCGAGGCTGAAGTCGGACTCCGAGTCAGATTGAGGTAGGCTGTCAGGATCGAAATCGGGGTCTGATTCGAATGCAGCGTCAGCTCTGAGTGATCCTGGGTGCTGTCGGTTGGGGTTCTGGATTTGTGAGAGGTCGTGGCCAGGACATGGTCAGAGGGGTCGACGGGAGGAGGAGTAGGGTTTGAAGAGGCAACTAGCAGGGGATGAGGGAGAGGTTTTGAAGAGGATGGAGGGAGGCAAGGAACAGGAGAAGCAACATCCATATTCGACTTCATCCTGATAGCAACCTGGATCGAAGTGCAGTACGTGTAGAGCGGTCAAAGGGGAGCAAAGCAGCCTGTGAATCAAGAAGGAACAGTCACTGCGTGTGTGCCGCATGCAGGTGTAACTAGGCGTACGAGTATGCGCACCGTGCAGGCACAGGCAGGCGCAGAAGTACAAACTTATTGGTGGCTGCAATCGGCAACTGCGCCGACCGGCATGACGTAAGGCAGCGCACGAGACGCGACTTTACTCGATTTAACGCGACTTTATGCGACGCGCGATCCCGTGACAAGGAAGACACTTGCTCGGACCGGATCAACTCACTCCGAGCCTGAGGATGACTTTCTGAACTCGCGTTGTCCAAGTCGCGTTCACTACGCGTTAGTCACGCGTCACTGCCATTGAAGTGTTCAATTCAAGAGATTCGTATCCTGCTATAAGTCCCTTAGGCTACTGAAGCACCTTAGATACACACTGTTATCAACATGATGAATCTTGATTTTGGATTGCATTACCTCTCATTCGAGTACTGCGCTGATAAGCCCGACGACGATATCGCCGGCCTCCCAGTCGTCACGCTCAGACAGCCAGCAGTGAGCAAGTGAGTGACTGAGTGACTGCCTCGGGCTGCACCTGCAATGTGCCTCTCAACTCTAGCAAGCAACCAAATAACAAACAATATTCCTGGATTATGAACTTGCTCTGCTTCATCTCCTTTCCCTACTGCCCTGCAAGGTCAATGTCTCACATCATTGTCTCTGGACTCTTTCATACCCGCGGCACATGACCATTCCATTGTTGCCCGCCGCGACTGTAATAACATCTAGGCCAAGTGCTACATCGTATAAGTTATCATACGCATGTTAGGACGTGCTGCATCAAGTGGACTCTTGAGGGTGCTGTCCACTGCAAATCAGTAACATTAAATTATGGGATAATTGTATCTTTGCTTATAATCCTATAAGATAACCTAGATAGCACTGCTACAAGTAGGTCTCAATCTACCTGAGGAACACCGTGCAGCTAGTTTAACTAATCTTTCCGAGGGCGAGCGGGCCCGTAACGGCTGAAACTGTACGTTATTGTAGGCCATAGTGTACCCGATGAGGCACTGATGCATATTTATCGGGGTTATCAACGCGATTAATGTTTACATGCCGACGACAGGCAGTATCCTATATTTCACATAGGCTAGTTCAACATCTATTACATCTGAAGTTGTGGAGAAGCACTTCGTGATGTCGAAAAGACAGCAGAAGAGCGTGAAGGCCAGTGATATGTTCGTCCGCGTGCCCATTGGCCTTATTTATCCTTTATTGGCATTCAACTTTCGGGAGAGTACTTCTCACCCAGTGACTACTAGCCACTCGTCGCGTATGTACTCGATTTCTGTAGGAAGAATTCACGAAGATCTATCGAAGAATGTTAGTAATATACCAAACGCAACGAGAGCTTACTTTACACCTTGCCGACGGTTACTATTGAGCTCCAGGCTATATTATATCTTATGGCAGAGGTAAGTAAAAGGAATTGTGATATAGATCCCCCCAATCCGACATCACCACGTATACCATTTCATCAGAGTATCAAAAGATCAATTAGTGGCAACGAAGGTGGGGATGAACCCACTCCTGAGGCATAGCCAAAATTAGGATGATTTCTCAGTTGCTGTGCTCAAGAGTCCTGTCCACCTTGTTGGCCTCACCACAAAGCGAAAATTGAGCTGCGGAAAGGCTTCTCTTGCTAAGACAGGAGCTGATAGAGTATTGATTTCATTTCATTTCTTTGCATCAGCGTTCTTATAACTCCACATTATTATGACTAGTTATGGGGATTGAAACTATACCATGAATAATCTACCATTCGTAAGCGACTACATACCCTATACCTATCACCCATGCAGAATACTGCGAGTTAATCTTACATTCAGGGGAAACTGTAATTTATTATAGCTGCTCAGAAGAAGCTCAGACCATCGACATATCTTGTTCTTTCCACTTCTACTAATATTTGTCTACTCTATCTCCTCAGAGACAGAGCACCTACAATTAGTCTACCGAATACAATCATTTCGCCCATAAAGACGGCTTATCGCCCTATCTATAACTAAGTGAATAAGTAGGCTATAAAAGACCTGTATTATGGCGTATAAATACTCTCTTCTAAAAGTAATCTTCCAATACTTATCGGAAACATTAATAGTAATCCTAAAGCTCGGTTGAGTATACTTCCACTGTTGAAGTCTTTAACTAGAAAGTAGCTATACTAGTATTATCTGTAAATTCTCCACTTCCACTTCCTCTTCTACTTCCTTACTATTACTGTTGTTGCTGTTGTTGCTGTTGTTGCTGTTGTTGCTGTTGTTGCTGTTGCTGTTGTTGCTGTTGTTGCTGCTGTTGCTATTGTGAGGTAAGGCTAAATACTATGTTATAAGTATAAGTTAGATTTACTTCTAGAACTCTACGATAAATATATAGGATATTTCGAACCTCGTTATCACATACTTTCATAGAGGCTTTCCGCTAACGCATCGACATTTCCTCCGCATTCGGATGATCTTCAAGGCTAGTCTGAAGAAGGTTCAATGCTGGTGTAAGGATGAAAAGGGCCAATAACCGTTCAACCATTTAACCATTCAACCGAAACCTTTAACCCAGCAGCTACATTCTTTGAAACCCAATAAATTCAATTCCTGCCAACAGCACCATCAACAAGTCGGCTCGAGAAGTGTTCTCTGTCCAGTAGAGATCATGAAAAGGGGAATATCGAAGTCATCATCCGATATGCATTCCAAGAATTACACGCACATTGTGGTAGGCGCAGGATCTGCAGGTTGCGTCGTGGCAGCACGCATTGCAGAAAGACAAGATACCAATGTGCTACTCCTGGAAGCTGGCCCTGACTACGATAACATGACAGACGAATCACTGTTGGGTGTCCAGGATGCTCGAAAGGTACCAATGAAAGGACAATCCGAAGTCTTCGACCTGGCGCTAGATTGGAATATTGATGTAACTCTACCGCGAGGAGAGTCAATGCAGGTGCCTCAGGGTAAGGTGGTAGGAGGAGGTAGTAGCATTAATGGAGGAACTGCTTTACGGAATACCGTAGCCGATGCACAAGAATGGGTCGAGCTGGGTAATAATCACTGGGACTTTGACAGCCTATATCAGGTTTATCAAAGATTGGAAGACGATCGATACCGCGGAACTACTGGTCCACACCCCATTGTGCGCACCTCTTTGGCGAAGGCTGGTAATATTCAGCGCGCCTTTGTGGAAAGTGCTATGATGGTCGGCATACCCGCAGTGCACGATTTGAACGCAACCGGAGCGGAAGGCGTTGGTCCATCGCCAGTCTGTTGCAGTGGCCACCGTCGTGTTAGCGCGGCAAATACATTTATTGACCCAATTCGCAATAGGCACAACTTCACAATTCTACCAAACTCGCAGGTTGATAAGATTCTCTTCTCGGAAATCAAGGCTTATGCAGTACTCCTGGGAAACGGCGACGTCGTACACGCTTCCAGTGAGGTGATTCTTTGCGCCGGAGCAGTATTTTCGCCAGCAATTCTGCAACGGTCTGGCATAGGCTCTCCACTTTTATTGGAAAACCATGCTATACAGCTCATCAGTAATTTACCTGTTGGTGAGAACCTATCCGACCATCCTTGCATACCAGTTGTGGCAAGACCGAAACCTCTGGCATACCAGGATGGAGATCACTCATTGCAGATGCAAGCACGGTGGTCTTCTTCTCAGCGCCCTGGAGCAGTTGACCTGCAACTGGTGTGTTTCAGTTACCTTTTTGTGCCTCCTTCGACAGCTTACGGGGCGAGAGGTCTTGCAGGTACTATGACTGGTCATGTTGTCGGTATCGGGTGCAACGTCAATAAGCCCACTTCGACTGGATTGGTAACGATTCGATCGACGAACGTGAGCGATTATCCCACCGTCGACCCTAACTATCTACACACAGACCATGATCGGAAGGCTGCTAGAGAGGTTGTGAGACGTGCATATTGCGTCATGACAACTTCGGCAATGCAGAAAGTACTTGAAGAGCCACTGGCCCTGAATGAAAGCATCGTTGTGGATGATGCCGCTCTTGACGAATGGATTCTCTCACAGCTCTCGTCCACATACCATTTCTGTGGGTCATGCAAAATGGCAGCGCGTGACCAAGGTGGGGTTGTTGATCAGAGTGGCAGGGTGTATGGAGTACAGGGGCTAAGGGTAGCTGATGCCAGCATCATTCCAACTGTACCGGCAAGCAATACAATGTTGACCACGATGATGTTTGCCGAGCGCATCGGTTGTAGTGTACGAGACGCAGTGGATGTAGGCACCGAGGATCGTGGTTCAAGTAGACTGTGATGAGTCTACCACCGGCCGCTTGAGCCCACTAGTAAATACTGGATCAAGCGGCTGTACCAGCACGATCGCTGCAAACCTATACACCGAGTTTACTCTCCAAAAGAAAATAGTAGAAGACGAGAACTGTGCTTCTAATTCCTGGAGCACCAACATACCACCGAGTGGGCGTATGAAGTGCTGGACTTTTAATACAACGTTTACTCTAATGACCCACTTTCCTCGGCGTTTCAAAACCCATATCTTGCGAGCAAGTATCGTGGAAAACAAGTAGATCTCTTTATACCTGCGCAAGCAGTAGAAGGAAACTAGAGGTCACGCGTATAAGTGAAGATGTGCATCTGAAAGTTTCTACTCGGTGAGGACGTCTTGTCTGGGTAGTGTTTCCATTTCAGAGGGTTCAGTGCTTACGATCTGCTGCAGCGAATGACTTCAGTTGCTTTCAATAGCTCGTCCGATCTGGGATCTGCATTTCGGGACATGAACAGTCAGATTATCACGAGAGATCGGCATAGATTTGGTCAAATCTTTCTAGGCCCTTAGGGCATCTCGGAAATGCTCAGCTTGATATACCTTATAGATAGAGCCAGCTTGAACAGTAGCTTCATATATGTCTCAAATCCTTTGAGCCTTGAAATCATTACTTAATCCCCTGTTCGCTAAGTGTCACAAGGCTAAGATCCGATCTCCGCAGGAGCTTGCAATAATTATCGCAATCCCTACTCTTGGAAAGCTAATCAACTCAGACAAATCACCTGAGTTGATTTATACTTCACATTTCTCATAGCGGCTTTCGAGTTTCCGACCTACCATCACTCAGTGTTATGGCTACACTCTGCTGCATTGCTGTCCTGTATCTCCAGGGTCCACGACCAACATCGCCTTCAGATCAGGAGGAAGAACGTCTATTCCGTTGTCTGCAGCCTGTCTTATCCCTAGGGGCCCGGAATCGGATCGGCATACTTCTAGATTTGCCCGAGACGGTGTTGCGCGTACAGCGAGCTCGTGCAACAAAGGTGACAAGCTGTGAATCCCGCTGGAATTGTATATCTCCCACGACGCGATTTCCTTACGCATGTCTTTGGCACGAATGCCATCAAATTGTCCGCGATCGTGATGCGCGATAACAAGGATTGATTCTAGGACATCCAAACTGTCGGAGTGATATCGGCCATGTCAATATACTTCTTAACCGTGCAGGTGCTATTCGAACGCCGAGCGCGTCTTGACCACCTTCCTTGATCCGAAGTCAATCTTCGTGCTAAAACGTGACCAACTGATGCGGTTTTAAATGCGTCAATGGGAGAGCTCACCCCTGGCACGGAGTTCAAGACACCCTTTCGCCCTCAAGTTACGCATCCACTTCGAAGCGCACGAAGAGGCATAATATTCCAATATCATACTGGATGACTCTCTGATGTGACCCAGAATTTTCACGTCTGTTTTGGCAAACATCATTCGTATGTCACGGGAAATGTATGGCTTATGGCCATGGCAGCCTGTATACAGCGAGATAATCAACAATCAGGAGAAAATCCAAAGCTGGGCTGGTAGAGTTGCAGTTATAACGTTGTCTCCAAATCCTGTTCGGTAGGATCAATTCTACGCAAGTAGGCTGTATTATGGACAAATAAGAGAGGGGTCCTTACCCATAAGAGAAAGTTATCTACTTCGTAGCAACAACAGGAAGGCATACCGAAATGCCAGATCTTTCCGCTCGAAAGGCATCACATAACCACCCACTATCGTAAATGACATTCCATCTAGTCACGAGAGACACGGCATCTATCTACATATAAAACATGGTATCCCGGACGTTGTCGTGAATTTTGACGAGGCTAGAGTAAACTGTTTGTCCATCGTTTCCCCCCATCAAGCTACCGGGAGGGCTTGTCATAGGTGTAGGGTCGAAGAGCCCACTTAAATAGCACCTCGCCCGCTCGCACACGAGATCTGCATAGTAAGCTGGTGGGCAGATGCTCACCGCTTTGGTCGCCCGGCCAAAAGGGTGACATAGGTTGTGGGTCAAATTCTCGAGTGCATCGGCGGCATTCTGGAATGGATGTGATGCTTTGCTACCTTGAAAGACCTCATCATACACTACGTAGTAGTGTGCTGGACGCGCCGTCCCCTGGAGGGCAGTGTGAGCTTGCATGAAGAAGTCCCAGTTGCGAGCCTCGGTGACACCGCGATCCACCACAGTACCGTTCTATGGGTTAGATGAGCGGTCGGCGCTCTCTTTGGTCGTTGGATAAAAACGGGTGTTGTGCCTAGTAGTTGGGGGACACACTGGTAGCGTGGTTTCGGGCTTAAGAGGAGCGGTGATTGGTAGGAAATTACCCCTGTAAGTCGGTAGCGTGGAATGTGCGGTAGCGTGGAATATTCGTGTAGCGTGGAATCTCAGCTAAGCTCAGCCTCGTATTGATACTACCCCTCGAAGAATATTACCTTTACTTTAAATAAATTTCGTTCCTAAACGATCAATATTATCCTTAGGTACGAAATTGATTACCTTCGTAGCGATCCCAACTATTAACCTAGTATCCTAGGTTTTAATAAATAAAATTAGTAAAACCTTACGAGCGTCCCAAGGAATGAACTTAAAATACGAAAGATTAAGACTGTTTTCTAGGGAGTGAGAGAAAGAGAGAGTATCCTTCTTACGAACTATCTAATATCTTCTCTATCCTAGCTCTTAAGGCTAAATCTCGCTATTAGGGCCTTAGAAAACGCGTTAATTTGTATTAAGTGTCGACGGGCGATAGTAATCGATCTATATATCGTCTAATAGTATTTAACTTAAGTATATTCTATTAGTAGTACTTGGTAGCTATAGCTCTAAGAGCTCGCTACGTGTCATGAACGTCGATTCAGACAACCCGTAAACCAAACAAACAAGCCAAGACCCGAGAACCAGTCTCGAGTCGGAGGCTTATCGCATACTTACCGCAGGAGGGGAGCTTCCCTCCTCTCTATGCTTTGAGTCTTAGTTAAGACGCACGTCAAGGAACAATCTATAACCTATTGAACTACCCTAATCGTCGTACTCTACCTATCCATATAGGTTCGTTCCTAACACTACGCTTCGCTTAACTGATATCTCTAATCTACGCTCGCGTCTAGATTTATCCCTAGAGGATATAACTTTTATTACTACCCCGGGTTTCGCGTATAAATATTGTTCCTATCGAATAACTGAGAAAGATATCTTCCCCATTCTCGTCACTTAACGTCGATGTTCCTAGCTATAGTGCGTGTCAAATTCCTTCCACTTCTATGACAGTAGGTCGCTTGATAAGACCGAGCTGTTGTTTCACATGCTCAAATAATTGCTCTAGTATGAGAATTGAAGCCAGCTGGTGGTGCAAGTTCATAGTACCCACCAACATGTCTTAGCTTTGCGGTCAAAATATAGCGGCTACCTCATGCTTACATGATCAAATCCCATTGAACTCGTGCGAGGTGTCATTCTCCAATCGCCAAGGGACAATTCGTACGTGGCCAAGGTTCCTATACCATAAACGTATACCAGAATCTTCCATCTCAGTTATTTTTCGCAGGATTGTATTGTATCGAACAAGGGCAGAATCGTCCTCGGATTGATGAGACTAGTTGAGGGTCCTTTCGACCAACCGAGTGAGCAGGTGCTCTTCTGGTACACTTTTACCCGAAGGAACTTGAAGAAATGTGTCATTCAGTGAACCTAACGGATTAACAGTTTTTGCAGTCCATTTGCCTCGCTATAGACACTACAGTTTAGATGCTTTTGCGTTATGTACCCAGGTGCCCCATCTAAGTTGCTCACGTGATCGACAAAAATTGTTGTTTATCCCTCCATCAACCGCCTCCTGGACGACACCGGCGATAATGTCTTGCTGTTAGCATTCTTCGTCAATCAGGCATTCCCAAATTTGCCAATTAGGACTTCGAGGATCTCTACCCCACAAGAGCATATGGGGAACTTGAGCCCGTTTGTATACGGAATAAAGTAACTCGTACACCCAAATCAGGATAACGTTGGCATATGCTGTCAGAAGCTTGAGCAAGACCGATGACTTTTGGTAAGTCCTCCAAGCTTCCTCATCAAAAAGGGTGTCCGTATGCAGCCCACAAATGCTTTGATGAAGACGTAAATACAATACAATACCTCACGATTGTGAGCTTCTGCCACAGCTGAATCGAGAATTGCCGCAATCGGTACAGTAAGCAGGACTCTTTATGAGTAAGTCCCCTCCAACATATGAACTTGCGAGATGCCAACCATCATCAGCACCAAGAAGGTCTTGGAAACTGTGCGGCGCCAAGAGATAGGAATTGTTCCGATTCAGTCGAAACTGTGTCTAACCGTGTTCAGTATCCAGCGTGAATATGAATTGGAAGGCTGTTAGGGTGTTGGAAGTTTGTACTGGCGGATATTGGAGGTCAATAGCAACAGCGTTATCAATTCGACAATGCTTCTCAACCCTTAAATCCGCCGGCAGCAAGCTTATCGGGAGGATGTACTATTCGATTTTCGCCGCTAGAACATTTCTTTTCGGCATGAAGTAGGTTTTGCAGGCAATCACGGTCATGTAGATATGTGGTTGCATTATCGCAAGTCTTGTGGTGAATGCCATGGATGCCAATTCAACACCGTTGGCTTTTACGTGAAATTCGTGAACGATAGATTGATAAACGATAAAACTAAAGATTTATACTAATCTCTTGGATTGCCAACGTTTGGGCGCAGTTTGCTAGACTTTGAGCCTGGATGTTGGCGTAGAGGCTTTGTGACTCCAAAATCGGACAACCCAACGCCGCTATCAAGCCTTCTTTATCCTCACAAATTCCATGGATAGGGTAATGTTCGAAGTTCGCGGTAGTTGACTGGAGGTTTGACTGAAATATTCCTGCAGCTGAGAATGGCAAGAAGTCTTCGTATGTGATTGGTGTTGCCTTGATAATGCCGGCATTGAGCAAGGTCATCAGCGGCACGGGTTCTGCGGAAAATGACGGGATCCAATTGCTCGCTTTATCGGTGCAGTGAAACTCACAATAGATCAGACCTTGTCTCACAAGTGTCTCCCAATCGTCTGGATATTCTTGGAATATCTGCTCGTAAATTTTGCCATCGGGACTTTCGCCCTGGGCTGCTACCAATGTCAACGCTTTGTCCAAGACTCGGTCGTACAACTGACGGCCTTTTATAGTGACAGCGGCACCACGCTGTTCAATCTCACCAAAACGTGCTCGGTGATGACCGATGGTGATGTTAATAGAATCTTTCACTGGGAAGCGGATCTGTTCCTCCAAAGCTAAGAAACTCGTCTGGCGCAGCAGGATCGGATTTTGACGGGTAGGTGGTCCTTCAATCCTTGATTTAATTGCGAGGCCTTCATCTTTCATTTGCTTCTCGGTCATATCTATATCTAAGGTGCGCGGAGTCAGATGATTGATGTGTGCGCTGTTAAAACATGCAATGTCGGCTAAAATCGGGTGTTCTTGAGCCAGAACGTGATAGTCTTCGTACGTCGTCGCTGCGAGAGAACGCCATTGGAAAGTCCGCAGGGCTTCAGTGATGAATCTCGTTCCCTGATTGGGCCATAGTCCACCCTGTTCTTCACCGAGCGTCGTGAGCTGCAAAAGCTCCTCGCTGAAGATCCTGCGCTTGTCAAGAAGATCCAGTGCGATTTCTTTCGGTTCACTATCCAACAGCTCTGGTCTCAACAGTGTTGTAAAGACACGAAAAGGGTTTTTGCTCAAGGCCACAGGATCGATAGGGCGGAAGGCTGTGGCGTGCATCGGCAATCCCGCAACCGATAAGTCGTAGTAATCAACGGGATACAGCCCGATAAGAGCGAAGACGCGACGTACGGTGTGCAGCTCGGTAGGGGTCCCCAGTCGGATCGCGCCATGTCTCTCCAGATCGAGTCGTTCAGGAAGATGTATTTCTTGGTCTTCAGCAACTTTCTGGTTGACTTTACGGACGATACTGATAAGTTCTCCGTATAAAGGCACTTCCGTTCTGTACATGGCTGACATTGCCAAGGCAAAACTGGTGCGAAGGTCATTTGGATCACAGAGTGGCCTCTGCTCCAGATCCTGGGTGGCGGAAGACGCCTGCGACTGTATTTCCATGTTGGTGATCATAGTCCTCCTATATCGAGGCAACTCTTCCTTGGGGATGGGTGTACACAAGCTGAGGTTGCACAAAAACGTACGAAATACAAATCCTGTACTGGCGAGTATATATCGAAAATCACCAGATCAGCTTACAAGATTTTCTGATTTGCAGCGAGTAGACTACGAACTGAGAATATAGTTGTATCCATTCTCTCCGATCGAGCCAGATGGTTGGTGGCAATCCGAACCGGCTTATGATTGGCTCGATCGGAAACTCATGAGTATCGCCAATCATTTTGCTAACTTCGTGCGCTTGAACTTGTCCTTGGGTCCTGGTTCATCGTACTCAGTCGAAACGCAGGTGCATTATCAAAGGCATACTGAGTTGATATTTGGGTAACTTTTAGTGCTAATGTTTCACCAACCATTCTTCAAAGTATTCTGGGGCGAGTCCGGCCGCTTTTATCATCCCCCGTCATTGAGCACGTTGCTACTGTCTCCAAGACTATAAGTCAGTCGGATTACTATGCGCTGCCCAGCTCCTGCATCAAGGTGTTGCTGCGAGACATTTACAGGACGTGGAGCATCCGACCATGATCACTGCATGCTCGCTATCCTGATCGCTTCACTGGAGGGGAACACAAGGCGGACGTGCAAATGAAGTTGCCTTTCCAAAGGTGTTACAAGGAATATAGCTAGAAAGAAGTCGGGAGCAGGGTCTTACTCACAGTAGGTTCCGATATACCGACAATACTGACATCTGGGTGCCTCTTTTCCCGGCATAACCGTGCTATTGATTACGTTCCTAAGACTTGTTGCTATTCTTCACTGCCGCCATTTTCTGATCAGATCTTTCGTCTAAGGACCATGGTATGGAGAATAAACCTTCTGACGATCGCTTTGAAAATGAAGATCAGTAGGTTGCTGCGCTACGCCTTTAGATTTACAATCTACAAAGCCTGTACGCAGTCATCTAGGTAGACAGCCGGCTCAAATTGCGAGAAATCATCGGTGGTACAATGACATGGGAAGTTGCCCCCGTTTTAGGTAGGCATCAACACGAGTTGAGATGTCATTGCTTTGGCATTACCATTTAGATCCTCTTACAGAATGCTTAATAACCTCGAGTAATCCGAGGACAATGCATCAATTATACCCAGGAAAAGTTCAACTATCTTCGAACGGTTGCCGTGAAGACCGGCGAAGGTTAATTCCTGTGCGTAGGACCTGGTCTTTCCCCAGCGAGGGGACTTTGACATGAATAGTTTTTGAATGGAGATAAGCCTTGATTCCCTCGAGACCTAGCTCACGGCCATAACCACTCTGCTTCCAACCTCCGAATGGTGTGTTGTAACTGGTAGCAAAAGCCCCATTGATTCCAACAGTGCCCGCTTCGATCTGACCAGCGACGCGAAGGGCCCGTGCAATGTCTCGTGTGTATATAGCGGCTGGTACAGTTAGAAAATTGAGAAGATTTGATAAGAAGAACACGACCTACCTCCCAGCCCGTATGGTGTGAAGTTAGCAAACTTGATAGCCTCAGCCTCTGTCTCAAATGTGCTCACAGCCAGGACTGGCCCGAATAACTCCTCCCGATAGAGCTTGCTCGTCAGGGTCAGATCCAGGGCCAGAGTCGGCCGCACGAAATTACCTTTGTCCCCTGCCCGGCCTCCACCCGCAATGAATTCGACGCCGTCTGCCTTCCCCTGCTCGAGAAACCCCAAGACTTTGTTCATCTGGTCTTTACCGGCCACTGGCCCAATACCCGTCGCGGGAGCGGACGGATCGCCCATTTTTTTCACGGCCTCCTCAAACGCTGCCTTGAGAGCCGATATCACTTGTGGTGCTATATCTTCCTGGACTAGGACCCTCGAGGCAGGAAAACAGATTTGGCCGAAATTTCGAAGAATACCATCACAGCATTGAATGGCCGCCTCTTGAATATCGGCGTCAGTGAAAATCACGGCTGGAGACTTGCCTCCCAGTTCTAAGGTCACTCTCTTGAGGTTAGACCTCGCAGCTGCGATCTGGACTTGTCGCCCAGCACCTTCCGAGCCTGTGAAGGAGATCTTCGCAATTTCCATGTGGCTCGCTAGAAGTGCGCCGACCCTGCCGTCGCCAGTGATGATGTTGACGACAGCCCGCCCCGCCGAGAAAACGACCGTATTGGTCCAGAGACAGCGGTGACTTTTCGCTTGACTTGAGGATGAAGGTGTTCCCTGCAGCCACGGCCGGAGCTAGCTTCCAGGCTGCGAGTGTATGAGAAACATTCCAAGCGCATATCCCGGCACAAACACCCAGGGGCTCGTACTGAACGATCTTGTATGTCTGGTCTTCAACCGGGGGAAAGGTATCTCCACCTACTTTTCCAGCGTAACCAGCATAGTATTTCCAGACGCAAGCAGCCGCAACTATCATTCGTTTTGCAAAAGACACCGGTTGTCCCATGGCCACGGTCTCGAGTTGAGCTAGTTCATCGCTGTTGGCTTCGAAAAAGTCGGCAAACTTTGTCATGACCACGGCTTTCTCGGCTGCAGGTGTTGCGTCCCATCCAGGAAACGCGGATTTGGCCGCAGAAACTGCTGCGTCTACATCTTCATCACTTGCAACCTGAAATTGCTCTGTAATAATGGAATCATCATAGGGGTTGACAACCGTCAGTGTCTGACCTCTGCTGGACGGCACAAACTGAGTCTTGGTCAGGCCCGATGTTGATCCCAAACAACCTGGGTTACGTACCTTCCCATTGATGGATAAATTTTGTTCGAACATGACGCCTACTGTATGTTTGGAGGTCGCTGCTCTTCGTCGACTGGTGAAGTGGATTTTTAGGAGAGCGGCGTCGAAGTTCTGCGCCTGAGAATGAACATTCCTTTCCTTGACAGCGACACGAGCCGTACGTGAGCTAGACCGGCAGATTTCGGGGCTCCATATTTTCTTTCACCGAGTCTTCCTAATACAGCAGGGCTGGAGCGACTCTAAGCCGAGGAAGCCTGCTCTCTATTTGAGGGAGGATACTGATTGCGATCTGACGAATAGGGAACTTATGGCACTCTGGTACAAGTTTGAGTTTTGAGGTGGGTGGACATCAATTTCTAGGAAAGCGAAACTCTTGCAGCTGTAAAATCTCGTCCTTCAATCGCCTGTTGTTCACTTGAGCTTTGTAAGCTGCCCATGGACTTTGCGCAGGAAATGGTCATTCCTACATCTTGCCGGGTGACGTGATTGGCCGATACATCGAGTGTGCGGCTTGACCAATAGTGATGGAAATTGTCCACACTCAGTGCTCGCGTCCACCGCAGCCTGGCCAGTAATGGAATCTGAAAGCTAGATCTCCTAAGAATCCAGATACACCCTCCCTGAGAATGGCCTGAGTCTCAACTCTCGATGTGCTAGCGGATAAAGTCTCCACAAAGTCAGACTGGAGCCCCGCGTCACACGAGCCCCGGGTTGATATGGCTCCCCAGCATGGGCAACCAATAAGGTGTCAGACCGGACTGTACCGGCTCGTATGGTAGTCTTATCAGCAGTTTAACATGGTGGGTAGAACAGGTTTTCGTGTGGAGCTATCCTAGCAGTGGCGCACAATGATTTATCCTGGCTCGAGCTGCGTTATCGTGTCCTTGGCCGACGGCGCAAACGGGAATCTTGCAAACTATTAGAATCCCAATGCATCTCTGGTTGCCGTCTGGGAGCAGCTTATTCAAGACTTCTATCCTGGACCATTGTTCCTAACCATCCACCTCGATTGTCTATACCTCCTGTGCCAATTCCTAGCCCTCTCTACTCACAGCCATGACGGAAAAGATAGCCGAACATATGGGCAACGTCGACTATGTCCAGGATCAATGTCGGATTCAGGACCTCGAAACCGAAAAGCCTGCTGTGAGGGGCAATTTGGCTCAAGGACCTGCCACATCTACGCAGCGGAAACTCAAAAGCCGCCACATCCAGTTCCTGTGAGTCCTTACCCCAGCCCCAGGACGACGTGGTTGGGTACCTGCTAATGACCAAGCAGTGCACTGGGAGGTGCCATTGGAACCGGACTCTTCGTCGGCTCTGGCAGTGTTCTATCTCTCGTCGGACCTGCTCCATTATTCATGGGCTACGTCACTCTTATGTTCATGGTGTGGTGCATTATGCAAGTTCTGGCTGAGATGGTGTCGTACCTTCCTCTTCAGGGCGCCACTATACCTTACTTTGTGAAGCGCTATGTAGAGCCATCTTTAGCGTTCGCCTGTGGCTGGAATTATTGGTATGTCTACTCGATACTAGTGGCCGCTGAGTCTATCGCGGGGGCCATTCTCTTGGAGTACTGGGACGTCGGAGTGAACCCGGCCGTCTGGATCGCCATATACCTGGTTCTGGTTCTCTTCTTAAACATTGTTGCGGTCGACTTCTTTGGCGAATCCGAATTCTGGTTCGCCAGCATTAAATTGATCACTATCCTATGCCTCATCATAACCGGTCTGGTGATCTTTTTTGGGGGTTCTCCCAACGGCCAGGGTCGGTTGGGATTCCGTTACTGGAATGAACCCGGAGCTTTTAACCCGTACCTCACGAGTGGTAGTTCTGGTCGATTCCTCGCGTACTGGACAGCCTGCGTGCGTGCCGGCTTTGCGTTCATCACATCCCCCGAGCTCATTGCCATCGCTGGCGGCGAGACCGAGGCACCGAGGAGAAATATTCCCAAAGCCGCCAGACGCTTCCTGTGGCGACTCGCTTTTTTCTACGGCTGTGGCTCTTTGGTCATCGGTTTCATTGTTCCTTCGAACGACGAGCGTCTCCTGTCTCCAGAATCCAACGCCAATGCCAGTCCATTTGTGATCGGTATTCAACGGGCTGGTATTTCGGGCTTAAATCATGTCATCAACGCCGCCGTCTTGACCTCCGCATGGTCGGCTGGCAATGCTTTCGTCTACAGTGGCAGTAGAGTCCTTTATGGCATGGCCCTAAGTAAAGATGCACCTCAGATCTTCGCCAAGACCAACCGTCAAGGTGTACCTTATGCCGCGGTGCTCGTGACCTGGTCCGTCGGTTTCTTAGCATTCCTTACAGTGTCCGAAACTGGCAGTCAAGTCTTCCTGTGGTTCGTGAATGTCAGCACCATCTCTGGATTTCTCGCGTGGATCATTGTCCTCTTCACGTACCTACGATTCCGCAAGGCTCTTGTGTTTAACGATCTGCTCGATACACGACCATATATCACTCGATTCCAGCCGTATTTCACTTACTTCGTCCTTGGCTTCATAAGCCTCTTGACGTTGACGAATGGATTCCAAGTCTTTACGAAGGCGAACTGGACTACTGCCAACTTTTTGGCAGCTTACATCACCCTTCCGATCATTTTGGCGCTATACGTGGGACACAAGGTATGGTCTCGAACGCCCTTCATGCAGAAGGTATCTGAGATCGATGTCATCTCGAGCAAAATTGAAATGGATGAGCTGTGCGCTCTGGACGAAGAGCCAGTGCCGAACAACGTTGCACAGAGAATCTGGTTGTGGATAGCGTAAACGCCTCGCTTCATGTCCAGGGCTTCTACGACAATGACTCATTAAAGGAAGCCTTGATCCATCCAGACGCGACGCTTGGACCTTTGAGATGTTTACTGTTCCAGGACAGCGCGCATTGGCAACCCTGATAGTTGCGAACGGCAGGGCCGAATGTCAAGCCAGGCTTGACTTTTCAGTTCCTCGGATGCATCATTGTTTTCTGCATCATCAGGGGGCCAAAGCACCAGTACGGCTGCTCGGGCTTAAACGGTACAGCCGCAGCTGATAAGATGACGTGACACGGAACCAGAAAGTATACAGAATGCCTAATATCTGTCAAGAGTGTCTGAACAACTGTATTGCTTTCCTCTTGTCTGATGTGCTTAGCATCCCATCTTGTTCCGTTTCACTCACATCGTGAATACCTTAAATGATGTACTTCCTGCTGGTGCAACCATGATGCCGGAATTATGAGGCTCGATGGACCCACTTGTATCTCTGTAGTGGGTCAGGCGACAACCGAAAGGACCCTCGCATCGAGTCAATTCCAGCGTATCATGAATTCTGATCCCTTTCAGGCTTAGGTACACGGGATTAATTCGAGCAGTGGTCTGAGCTCAACACATGGGAGCGCAAATTAACCTTGATAATGCTTATGTCTAATTGGCCGTCGCGTGCTCGTTGCGAGCTAGCGAATCAAAAGTATTCAGACTTCTCATGGGCCGGCAAAACCGGGAGGTCCACTTCCGCTTTCAGTTGGTTCCAAATTCATTGATTCTTGAAGTGCAACACACACGGGGTTTAGAAACCATAAAATACATCCGAGAATGTCATAGATGGTGTCCTCATAGCTGTAATCCATCGCGGTTGAGACACAATCATGCGGAGCAATAAGCCTACGCCAGGAGAGATCCTCATCATTGGCGGTGGTGTGTTCGGCATCAGTACCGCCGTTGCTCTCCTAGAACGTCCACGATTCTCCAACACCAGGATCACCATTGTTGATGCCTCGTCTGAGCTTCCCAACCAGTCAGCAGCATCATGGGATACAAGTCGCATGTTAAGAGCGGATTATGCCGAGAAGGCGTACACGAAACTCGTGTCCGAAGCGCGTCAACAGTGGACCATTCTCGACAGCAATGCCTGGGGTGGCGAGAGTCGTTACTGTGAAGCACCATTACTGTTGACGGCCCAGCCTGGTGTTCTTGGCCACGTTGATGGCTATCTCGAAGAGAGTCTGACGAATCTGAAGAAGCTCGCAGAGACTCGCGAGTTCGCTTTCACGCCGGAGGACATCGAAGAACTCGGAGACAAAGACGCACTCAAAAGAGCATCAGGACCGATCCCAGGGGCGAGTGGGAACTCTGGTTACATTAACCGGAACTGCGGCTGGGTGGACGCTCGCAAGTGCCTGCACTTCCTGTATCAAAAATTGAAACAAGCAGCCAAAGGCAGGTGCGAAATTCATCGCAGTACAACGGTCCGCAAACTTCTCTATGACGGACTTGCTGGGTTTACAATCAATCAGGCTCGATGTATTGGGGCGGAGCTGATGAATGGGTCTCATATTCAGGCCGACCTGACGATTCTTGCCGCGGGTGCGTGGAGCCCGTCGCTGGTTGACATGGGGCCACGCGCTGTTGCCACCGGTCAGACGCTTGGTTATCTGGCATTGACCGAGGAGGAACAATCAAGTGTAAACAACATGCCCATATACTTCAACATGAGCACGGGCATGTTCATGTTCCCCGCGCACACCCGCGAGCTCAAACTAGGCCGTCATGGATTTGGGTACCAGAATCCTACTCCGGTAATCCTCGAGGGGAAGCGCAAGCTTGTCAGTACTCCAATATCTCACCTGCCTGTCCCGACGGAGGCAGAGGACGCCCTCAAAGAGTTCTTGGTCGAGTTGTTCCCTCACTGGAGACATAAAGAGTTTTCGAAGACGAAACTCTGTTGGTACTGTGACACGTAGGTCAAGAGTCTTTAAAACGACAGAGGCGCCAAGATGCTGACATAGTATTAGACCGAGCGGAGACTTCCTAATTGACTACCACCCTGAGTACGAAGGCCTGTTTCTCGCCACTGGCGATAGCGGTCATGGTGTCAAGGTCCTGCCTGTGATCGGACAGAAGATCGCGGATTCTATCGAGGGAAAGCTGGACCACACTCTGCAGGAGTTATGGCGTTGGAAAGAGGACATTCCATCAGTGTTCCAGGGGACTAGTGATGGGACACGCGGTGGTAGGCGCGGTATGGTGTTTCAAGAAGAATGGCAGCGAGTACGTGATCCGACGGGAGTAGCAAGAGAACGCCTGTGAACCAGCCTTTACGACTTGTGTCCAAGATTGCACGTCATTGTGGATGCAAAAACCAACTGCATACTCCAATGTTTTTGGTAAAAGCACAACGTTCTGGATATTATGGAGAACGATACATCAAGCTGTCGCTCAAAACAATGTGGACATCTGTGGTTGGTAATACCCTACGGTTCAGCATAACCTGGACGCGATCTTTTCTCCAGACACAAGTCATTCTAAGCCAACGCCCATTCCGCAATCCCTTCAGCGTGTATCGTCGTGGTCTCGAAGGTTGGGTTTGACAGATCTGTGGGAGTGAAGACAAGTCGCAGCTCCGTGCACGCCAAAATCACGCAGTCAACTCCTTGTTCTTGCACGAGCAGTTTGTAGGCCTTGTGCCATCGAGACTTGACATCGTCAGGGATGATCTCTTTACTCATTTCCACAAAGATGTCGTTGTCAGCCGTAGATCTAAATTCTTCGCCCGGGACGGCGATCTCTAAGCCGAACTCTTGAAGCCGAGCCTTGTAAAAGTCCTCCTCCATCACTGCTCGGGTTGCCAATAGCCCGACCTTCTTGAATCCACACGCGTTGATCTTTTGTGCCGTGAAATCCACAATGTGTAGAACAGGTAGGCTGGACGACTGCTCCAGAGATTGAGCAGCTTTATGCGCAACGTTGGCGCATAGAACAAGGGCTTGTGCATTCGCGCTCTTTAACTCCTGTCCGTACTGGCAGAGCATCTTGGTCATACCATCGTAGTCCTTGCGATCGACCATTGCGGCAAGCTCTGCATAGTCGATGGATCTGATCAGGAGATTGGCGGAATGGATGCCGCCCCGCCTTGCATTTACATGCTCATTGATCTCTTTGTAGTAGACGGCGGTGGACTGCCAGGAGAACCCGCCAATGAGGCCCACTGTCTTGGTCATTGTGTCGGGGAAATTGACAGAGTTGATGTTTGATCGTGGAACAGTGAAAAGTCACATAAGTAAAAATGAAAGAAAAGTGCGTTTTGCGTGAAGTGTTCGGACCCCTGAGTGTCAACAGTCGTGATGGTCACCCGAGATATTCGACCCGAGCTTTTGTGACGCAAATCTTGTTTCGATTGCGTGGATGATACGGAGCACTTAACAGGCACAGGGCTGACCGTGATCCTGCACCAGGTGCACGCCTGTTGCTGGTTGTAATAACCATGATCGCTCTGCGCGGCGCTTCAGGCGTTGGCAAGTGTTGTTTATTGAAAGTTCCGATTGGACAGGTCGGGATAAAAAAATTTAACCAATCCGATCATGATGCCGCACCGGCACAGGATGCAACTGAAACAACACTGGTTCTTGCCCATTTTCTCCAACCCCCGCTCCACCATGCCCCTCATGCCCTAATGAGGAGCTCTGGAAGGTGAACCGTGGACTTCCAGTTCAGCTCTGATAGGCATCAGTCAGAAAGATCGCGCGCGGGCCAATGAGAAACAATCGTTGCCGCTGGGACAATGGTGGATGAAAGTGCATATATACAGGTCGAGGCATTCCTGTTAGGTCATATACCCGATCACTCTGTGAGCATTCATATCATTCACCGTGCAAAATTCCCGTCGAGAAAAATACCACAAATGGCCAACAAAGAACTCCAGGTTATCTTTAACGAAAAGGGTGTCCACCGTAGGTGACTTTGAAGACTCGCGATCTGTGACTTGCCAATTGACAGGTGTCTTTCAGCCATCGGCCCATACGTATGTACACTCGCAAACGCCGACCATCTAGAGTGTTGAGCAGCTGCCTAACTGTCCCCGCAGTCCCAGGCTATTAAGGCTGGTGGATTCGTCTTCCTAGCCGGTCAAGTTCCTTGCGACTCGCAGGCTAAGGTTGTGCCTGGTACGATGCATGACAAGGCGCGCCGCATGTGTGAAAATGCGAAGCTCATGATCGAGTCGGCCGGCTCCAGCATGGACAAGGTCGTCAAAGTTAACGTAAGCGGTCACTCTCCGTCTGGCCTGCCAACGAGACCAGTTCTACATGTTTGTTCTTGGACACATACGAAACAACACTAATTACATTTTGTTCAGATTTATTTCGAGGACATCGACAGGGATTTCGCCGCAGTCAACGAGGTTTTTGGCGAATATTTTGTGTCGAAGCCCGCCCGTACCTCTGTCCAGGTTGCCAAGCTTCCTGTGGGATGTCCCCTGGAGATAGATGTGACTGCTGTTGCCTAAGAAGTGCGGTGACGCGATGTTGATGGAGCTTCAGACTGCTCGCTTAAGTATGTAGAAGCCAAGTTCCAACACCGTGGTGGGTTCAGATTCGGTGCGAGACGAAAAGCACTCGCTCAAAGCTGGGGTGTTTCATGGGGTACCACCGAAGATGTTCCGTACATCAGCGTGATGTTATAGTAGCACAAGAATCCAAGCATGTTAAGCAAGCATAATGATCACCCGTCTCGACCGACAGGCCAACGTGCTGTATTTATTGAGATTCTGCTTGTTTTCCATGATCAAGATCTACAGAAACTTCCCCTTGATCGTTGATTTTCTGGGACATAGACATCGTCGATTGTGCTACACAACCCCCTGGTTCGCTCTCGATGACGGTTGATGCGATCGCATTTTGAAAAATTGGCTTCGTTCCTCTTTTGCAACAAAATCTATTTGAACGATACAAGGATGTCCCTACAAGTGAGACGCCAGAAATACCCTATTCACAGCTCTCGAAATCTTCCATTCCGGAGTCTATCAGCTGGATTACGGTGGAAGGACAAGATTCACTCAATGACACTGACGCTGGAAGCATTGGAAAGGTATATCGATTGCTCCTTCGATGTTCGACAAAACGTATTGTATACTACCTCGTCCGACGTTCCGAGAAGCATTCAATTGTACTGTGTCATGCGTGGCTACAGTACCACCGTTGCTGATGATGTTTGCGCTTGGATGCGCAAAAGCCGAGCGACGCGAAAACCTGCAGCTGTCGGTCGCTGGTTGGTGCAGAGGCGTATCACACATAGACACAATTTCTGCTTAAACCGACCATAACAGCTATTCGGATGATGATCATGATTGTCTCTTCTGATGACTGCGATAGTGTTTAGCCTTCCTTAAACTCATCGTCCGCCTGGCCATATTCATTGGGCTTCACCAGGATCCTGCGTGGTTTGGGTCCATGCAATCCCCGGAAGCCGAGATTCACGACCGTATGTGGATTAGACCTGTGTTCATGGACACGTACAGCGCTCTTGAATGGAGTATGTTTTGATTCCGACTCACTGAAGATTATGATTCTCCGGCACCAAATGCTTACACTATGACCTGCTACGCCATTAGTACTGGAGTGTCACGGGGCGACAGTGATATACTCGAGATCTTGGTGTTTTAACCTGTGACGCAGAACGCATCACCTGTAACATTGATCACTAAAGTGGATAGGAAAATAAATCGGATCATCTAGCGTTAGAAATATTAGCTAAACAGTCTTATTAACATCACCCAAGGGCCTCTAAGCAGCAAAAATAGCAGGTGGTTTTGGCATCTGGACAGCGTGCCGATCTCCAGATAATCCTTGGCATGGTCGATTGGTTGACCAAAACATTTATTTTCTACCGGAAGAAAGATGGCCTCAAGGTGTGGCCCTTGTCATCGCAACCCAGCGGAGTGTGAGCTCGCAATCCTTAACCCACGGTTTGGCATTGCTATCTGTACTTGAAATTAACACATTTTCGGTAGAACCCGGACCCAGCTTACGTTGCACACAAAACCCGCCACTGATTGTCATACTATAAATACGTTGCACAATTTGGCGCATTTTGCTTCTGGTTTTCTCCTCTCTCAAGTATCGGTCTAGAGCGATAACTTTGAATTCCAATACTACCTCAATTCATGCACCTACGAGTCCCCGTACGCTATCTAAAGGGAGGTGTAGGACCGTCAATATATCAATGTAATCAGAAATCCATAGTCGCAACGCTATGCATGATCTTAGTAGCTTGTGCAGCCTGTCATCTACGTCTGGCATTGCTACAGGCTGCTGTATTGAATGGTATTCAGCATGATATGTAGGCTACGTAGGTTGATTTACTATGACGTGCCTGAACTTATTGAATACCTCTTGAGGTATTAAGTCTATATTTATGTGAGAGAGTCGAGACATATTGGGAAGAGGTTGATTTTGCTATAACTCTTCGAATTCTCTTGGCGACGCGAGGACAGCGTGAGCGGTGAACCGGCCAATATCGTCTAGGTCTAGGTACGAGCCTTTCAGGTCTGGATGGTACGATGTCTTGATGGACGAGTTGGGTGCGCTCAAGTTAGGATATATCACCAGCTGAGAGGGTAGGAGGAAGTTAGATAGGAATACAGTAGGTAGGAGGACCGTGTAAGTATACTCTACTAAGGTGTTTGGATTTCGTGGTGCCTTTACAGTCGCTACGATATCCGCTTTACTCCCGTAGTATCTACCTATAAAGCCATTTAGATTGAGGTTCTTGAAAGTGTGGACTTAGTCGGTATGATTGACGGCTAAATAGATAATATACTTAATACTGGTATCGAGAGCCGCGTTTAGTATGTTATGTGCGTGGCGTGATTCACCACCGGTGTCGGTGAAAATAGGTTTCACGTTGATGAATGTTGCCGTTGTACCCTGAGCTGCTCGTGCGAGAGCGGCAACGTCGTCGAAGTCCCCCTGGAAAAGCTTTATCGCATTTGGGTCTAATGAGACCAGAGCTTGTGCAGCTGCCGATGCGGGATCACGAACATAGGCATGGATGTGGACGAGAGTGGGTGGAACAGTGGATTTGGCCTTGATAAGGAATTCTCTCACCACACCACCCCCCTGAAATCCTGTGGTACTGGTAACAAGGACGACAGGACACGACGGGAGCATGTTCTGGAGAGAAGAATAGAGTAGAGTCGTTGGCAGAACCACTGCGAAGAAGATAGAAAGGGCTTATATAGAACTGCTAGTGTTATTCTCGGAGCAGTTTTGTATGCAATGTCCCTGATTTTCTTTGTCAGCGCACTCCTAAACCGTCGATAACAGAGCTTCTGTCGGCCGACAAATTCAAGCTTTGGTAATTCTGTCCATTCCGAGTACACAATGTATTATGACACTGCGCATGTTGAGGTTTATGCTGGTTGATCATGGTGCCACTCAGCAGAACGCTTTGAAATCGCCAAGAGAATTCAATTCGGTGCCAAATGTCGGAATATGATGTCAAATTCCTCCAAAGATGGACTATTTCACGCCGAATCCTGCGCAGTATTTGTGACACACATACATCAGCAAGTCAAGCTACTGTCCTCCAGCTATTGTAAGGACTAAGTGTTGGGGAGCTAAGATGAAGATGGCTATCCACGCTCTTCTCCACCAGGGTCGCAGGCAGGGCGATCGGATCTTTGCGATCAAGATTTCAGGAGTATCGAGAGTAGAGGGGGCATCGTGCTGGGCTAGGACCAGCGTAAGCATGGTCTTGCCACCCCGCATGCCCTCGGGACTGGAAGGGGAATTCCTTAAGCCAACCACTTTAGCCGTCACCAAATTGCTCGCCGTAAGCCAACGATCACAGCCGGCATAAACTCTTTGAGCGCGGTTTTACGCCCCTCAGTCTCTTCTGCCTATATCTGCAGCGGTATGACATCCCAGCTACAGTACTGCAGCAAGGACCGCGGGCAGATCGGTCAAATCTAGGAGAAGCTGTTTGCAAAGATGCTTTCAGACTGACCCGCGTAAATCGAAATTTGACTATGTTGTTCGGAGAGTATCGAGTCAAAAGCAATAGCGTTTGGGATGAATGGCTAAGCTGATTGAAAACTAGCAGGATTAAATACTAGCAGGATTAAATGGTAGAAATCACACACCTCCTTATTGGATATTTCTACCATATTTGTCAACATCCGCCAAGGTACAAGCTCTTACATGGATGGGCAGGAGCTTGTGCTGAACTTTTCTCTCGCTTTTCTCTCTCATTTCCGACTCCGACAGCCTTTAACCCTACTGCTCGCCTTCTAATGGTCTATCAGACTTTCTTGGGCTCACTACGCTTGTTTCCCAGACCGACTATGTACTCCGTCATGGGAACCTACCATCAAAATTGCACCAACCAATCCTGTAACATTCTTTGAGTCACCGTTAAGTTCATACACTGGCCGGACAGTCCTTTCCAAGCTTGGACACATTGGTACAAGATTACGAACGTATATAAATCTACATAGACGTCAGATCCTCGACTGACCGAAGACCGCCAGAACTCTCGATCGCTTCCATCCATTCGGTGTTACACCACTCTGGCACCTCACCGTGATCGTAACGCGCTTTTGGCTCAATTCCTCTTGTGGACATTTACTTTCACTCAAATATTCCTGTCTAAAAAGGACATAATCTCACCATAGAACCCTGTGGCATTGGTTGCGAAATTGGTGCCGTGCCCCGCGTGTGGGTGAAGGTAAGTCTCAATAACCTGCGCGTGAGAATAAGTGGAAGCTTGCTCCCCGACCTGGTAGAACGAAGTTGTGCAGTTGCCCCCGCAAACTAGAAAGTCATTTTCGCCAGTCGTGAGCATAATCGGCTTCGTGAAGGATGGAGCATGGTAATTCAACGCCGAAACGCTCAAGAACTCCAGCAAAGAGAGAGGCTGACGAATCGATTGCGCGTATTCGACGGTCGAGATGTCGTAGGGCGCCCGGAAGAACAGCTGTGCATGCGCATATATGTCACCGAAGTCGGCGTAGCCGGTATCACGAACGAAGTCATGGCCATCGGTGTCTGCGAGGCGTGGGCGGAAAGCGGTGGACAGGAAGCGCGGGATTACCGCAGCTAAGGGGAATGGATCGATCGAATCATTACCTAACGCCATTCCAGTGAGAACGGCACCTACGCCAAAGGTCAATTGCATGCTCCATGAACCGAAAACGCCGACGGTCGCATTGCAATCCATTCGCAAGCGCGCCACATACCATCGACAAGATCCCCGTACTTGGACAGTACAATATTCGATATCCTGGAGCCCATCGAATGACCGACAGCCACGACCTTACTGGCTGTGACGTTCCCAGTATATGCTCCGATCTTCATTTTCCTGACGATCTGCGCCAAAATCTCAGCCTGATAATTGACCGAATTTTCATATCCTGACACTCTGGGGAGAATGAATCAGTTAGAAGCCCAAGGACACAGGTCATGGGATAACGAACATTTGTGAACGTCCAGTTCCCACTCGATCATACCAAAAGACCGAGTAACCATTCTCGAGCGCATATTGAGCGAAGCTGTATTCTTCAGGCTTGTATGAGGATGCCCAGTAACTGGTGCGGTGGTCAGAATGATATTAGCAAGGAGTGTGTCATGGCTGGTTGGCATACCGCCCATCATATCCGAGGCCGTGCGTCGCTACAAGGACTGTTGTCTCTTTACTGCTCCCCGGCTTCTGAGGGGAACAGAATGTCGCCGAAACGGTGTAGTTGTTCGTTCTGTTCTGGTAACCGGAAATGGGCGGGACTGTGCTGACCTGGGAGTCCTTCCTTGTGCTGTTGAAGAGAAAGTACGCGATGTCGAAGTTTGTTTGAAACTTAGGAAGACCCCAAATGGCATCGGATGAGTTGGTTTGCTCAGTGATGGTGTAGTCAGTGCAAATGCCGTTGGGAGGATGGACATAGGTATTTGGCGTGGGTGTCGCGACAACGGGCACCATGTGGCTCAACGCTGTGAGCGCAAATAAACAAAGCACTGAAGCCATGTTCTCGTTCGACCTGGGGTAACTTGTGTGGGCATAAACCAAACACAACGTATGTTGAAGAATATAGCTCCCATGGACATTCGGTCTTGTTGGGATTTTAAAGGTGTTATTTTATAGCTTTCACTGCTACATATGTGTGGGATTTGCTCGGCTCAGCCAAGCATTCTCTCAGGGGTGCGAACATGGTGGAACTCAGTCACCTCGCTGCATCAGAACCTCGTGTTAATTACGGACTTACGGTAATGCAAGCTCAATTGAGAACGACGGACGATGTTGTGCTACGCGACCGGGGACTGCATGTGTCATCTCAAACGGGTACGCCTGATGACGACTATAGGAACCTCAGCGTACGATGAGGCACTATAGATCGGATTGTGAGAACTTAATGACGTTCTCTGGCCGATTTTGATGGTTTCCGCCTTAGCACTGCGTCATTGTACTCACTACTGCTTACTACTGCACGAGGAGGCATGCAAATCAGCTAAGGTGTGTGGTGCGATTCTCGGCCGGTGCGGGACTATACGGGCCAATACAGCATCCACCATCTACATTCATTGTCCTTTCCGCCCAGGCGAAAACGCTGAAGGTCTAGGCGACTTCTCTATCCAGCCTTGCGCTTCGGTTGTCGTGATTTTTAGCTCACCAGTGGCTCTCAGAGAAAATTCATAGTCGGCAGCTACGAGCGCGTATCGAATAAAAATCGTTGAATTCGATGTTTTTGTGCAAGTCAATTACCCTTAAATTACCTATAAGCGAGCCTCGTGGTCGGTAAATTGCGCCTGCGTACGTGGCAGCACTTTGCACGACCCATTCATATGCAGGTCCATATGCGAGACTCATGTTCCCCAGCCCTTTCGTAATTTGACATCATAAATCCAAGTCGGCACTTGAGTCCCATCTGGGATATATGCCTACTGTAGGTTTCCCCAAAGGTGTATTCCTTCTTGTCTCTTCGTTGACCTGGAGCTGTAGGGGTGTATCAGGTGGTAGATGGATGGCGTGTACCGTCCTTGCCAAATTCGTAATGCCCTTTGTGGGAGACGATATGAGCTAGCCACCATCATCGCTCAAGGAGACTACCAGATCCTTGTAACAGAGGAGGAGTAGGGAGGCGCGTCCTACAGAACCTAACAGTGTTTACAGGAATGTGTATTTGATAGACGAGACCAGAGGTCACTCAAGGTGCCGTCTAGGTGGACGTATTTGTGAGTGGTATTGGTAAACGTACTGGTAAGCGCACCTCCGAGGACGTATACACGCCCTCGGCTCAACGGACTGCGCGTGGGTGCGCGCACATAGGGTGGAGAGGCGACTGGAAATGACGCTGCGACTACCTCGCTGACACATTACGTACTGTCATGGAAAGCTTATTCACAACCTAGGTGCGAATGTCTACGGCAAAGCGAGGAAAGCTAGTGCAGGGGTAAATAGTCTATGCCGGCGACATTGTAAGAGCTGTGCTCAAGATAAACCCTGCTAACTCTGGTTGGCCTCCCGACTGCCTGCTGATGAATCTAGTAGTTTTGCCAAAAAGAGTAAGTGATGGCAGTTGGGATCAAAGAGACGTATCTCGATTGCTCATGAAAAGTCTGTCCGGCTCTCCGAACCCGAACACGCCACATTTCAGATTGCGGAAATGATGTGAGAACAATTTGGCGTTGTGGTTCTCTCGTCTCGACTTGTGGTGTCTCTGGGCACCAAACCATCAATCATTGCACGAGCGCAAACGCACTCATGCACACCAACAATACACTCCCTAAATGTCAGCTGGGAAGTTAGGTTTGTGGACTGCGACGACTGTACCATACTCTTTCGGGTGAGTTTTGGACCCTGCCCCATCAAACGGGTAGAGTTTAAGTCGGTGCTTCTAGTCACTCGTTGGCGTTCTTTCGGCCCCGAATTTTGATACGAGTACAACGCAAGTCAAAAATTTCCACAGGTCGGGAGCGGGTATGAGACATCGTGCCTGGTCTGTTCTTCACCTCACGGGGCGTGTGGCCACGCTGGGTGGTTGATTATGTTCTGGCCATACTTAAAACTTATCACCTGGTTACCATTCTCACTCTTCGCCTGGGGAGAAAATGGACTCTTGCCCTTTCTTGGCATGACTTGTTGCGCTACCGTGGGTCAAAATGCGTCATACATGGTTGGATCTTCATTAGTCCATTGAACGAGGAGACATAAATCACCGTTATTGGCTACATCAGCTGAAAAGCGAGTGAGCAAATAAGGTTGCTAGACTTTCGGTTAAAGTGCTCGAAACCGTGGATGTGCACTAAGCTCTTTTCAGTCACAGCGATGCAGGCATTTGCCCCCTTCAATCAACCAGAGTACGCGACGCCCCGATTCTTTGGGCCAATAGCAGCCCTTTTTGCGAACAAGGGTTTCGATCGGATCACAGAGCTCGTCCGATTTGGATGATAAGTCTGCGTGGTTGCTGAAAGTGAAGAAGGAAAGCTTTTGGCTGTACCAGAACACGTCGTTATATCTCTCCCCAGCTGGTACGATTTCCGCATCGTGTCCCAACGGTTGGTCAGTACAACGAGAGCCCCACATGTAGTCGAACAATTGGCTACTTCACCGTGGCTCGACATTGCCTGTCAACCGCAAAATCAGGCGGAAGCCAAACACCATGAACAGTAGTTCCGAGCACAGGCGTCGGTACTGACGCCCCTGCTGTCCTGTCAAGACCACTTACTGTCCACATTAGGGAGTTCAAATACGTGACCAGGCGTGGAAGCTAACATTGTGAGTGGGCTCTTGCCGTTGGAAAGCAGGCCAAGTGTTCTTCATCGAGAGGGACAGAGCAAGACAGATTGGGAGGGGGTGACTAAATGATCCGCTTCGGTGTATCGTCCGGGGTTGAAACCTTGGCTATACGCTTCTGTCATGCAGCTGGGGCTTGAAGCGTGTTCGTCAATGGTACTGCAAGGCAAGGAAATTAGGTTACTTGATGACTATTGAGGGCCTGAATGGAATCGTGAGTGCGCTCACGATCCGTATCCCGAGAACAGCGGGTGGACAGCTCCTAACCAAGGCCAGGGGGGAATCAGAGGGCAAGCGCCACTGAGAGAGCGACCGAGCCAATTTCACACACAAAAGGTTAAGTTGAATTATAGCTCTCATTCCTCCGCCTCATCGCCTTGTATTGAACTCAAGGCAACGCCAGACTCTTGAAAAGAGCGGTCATCAGAAATATCGAGTGATTCGTGTGGCAGGTGGTACCTGCTCAAGCAAACTTGTCTTTATGTTACTCTATAAAGTTGTGGACTGCTGTTCAGCGATATTCTTTCCCACACTTCGGGTACGTAAGATGTGCGACATTGCACCTCTGCTAAAGGCGAGAGACCGGATGATGGACATCTGTCAGGGATAGACCTCTTCTCCCCCCCCCGGGTTCAGGTGAGGAAAAGAGAATACGAGATGCACCAGGGTACTAGCGCTGGTGGAAAGAAAAACATGTAGCAAGTATCAAAAAATGGATCAATTGCGGCAGAAGTGCATGGGTTTCGAGGAGCTGAAAGGGCGAAGTTGATGGTTTATGGGGCCCGAATTCGCTCGATGGCCAAAGCCATACGAATTGGTGGGTGTCAAAGGGCGCAACCTATTTGTTTCTCCCCAATTCGTTGCCTCTCACTTCCGACCAAAGCGTTCCAAAGAACGCCTACACACTGGCCGAAGATATATCTCTCGAACGAGAGGTGAGATGTAAGAACTCCTTTGAAGGCAGCTGTACTGGGAATGTCGTCTTTGGGAACGTGGGGTCGGGGAACGCAGGACGGATACACAGAGTTCGGAATCAATCATGCCTTGCGGCGTATTGTGTGTAAAAGCGGTGTTAGTGATGGGGCTCGAATGTTAGTGTGACCGTTAGTCAAGAAGCTCTCTGGTGATGCCGGAAACTATTTTCGTAAGTGAGATCACGTTTGTGAACTTTGCATGACAAGGGATATGATTCAAGTCGCTGCCCAGGCCGGTGTGTATGTAAACGCATTAGACTGAACGAGACATCTGCAGAGACAAGCTTCGTCGCCTTGGCAAGTTGGTGGCCTCAAGAATGTGGTCAACTAACTAGCGAGGTGCGGGCGCCCGTGAGGCGATAAGCAAGTCAGATTTGAGGTAGCGAGCGAACTTCGCTTGATCGGTTTCTCGACAATTCGTAGTCCGTTGAGTAATCAGACCGAGACACCATCAACAGACCTACAGTACCACGTTCATATGCACATGCCAGATTTCCCCGAGAGGCCGAACTAGGTTCCTCTGAAGGATTGTGGGTCTTTCTGATCAGCCAGACAATCTCCTGTCCAGTCACCAATTAGAGCCACTGCTTGAGCCCATTGGGTGGTAGCAAAGGTGACATAAGACTAAATTGAAGGTGTTTGAATTGGAAATGAATGTATTCGGCTTCCGAGCGATCTCTGCCACCATTAGAATGCGTCGACTAATGTACTGTATGATCACCACAAGACTGCAAAAGAGGTAATTGTGGCATGGATCGGACACCCTACTGCTGCACGATCTGGAACCTTGTCTTTGGAAATCTCTACTAGACCGAATCACGGGTCCTTCGAAAGGTGGCAGCTATGATGTTTTTGCACCGTTTACTTTTCTAAACTCTTGTTTGCAGTATCTCTCGCGAGATGGTGTTAATTATTCCAAAGAGAACACGTAAAAGCGTATTGCCGACCTGCAACGTCACTTCAAGTCACTGTTCGTAAATAAATCCATATATTCTCGGCATTTGAACTCTCGATGCCTGTTACGTACCACAGCCGTCTCAATTTGCACCGCTGGTAAACAACTCGTCTCACCAGGTTGTTCTCTGTTCCGTATGCTACCATGGTATGTTCTACCGGAAGTCATTAGTGGTCATGACTCTCACTCAATATAGGTTAAAGAGGGAGATTACATCCCTGATGTCGACCTGTTCGAGAATTCCCCGCGCACCAAGGTCAACCTCGCTCAGGAGCTTGCGTCTGGAAAAGGTGTCATTGTTGGCGTGCCTGCCGCATTCTCCCCCTCTTGCTCAGACAAGCATGTTCCTGGTTATCTTGCCAGTGGCAGGCTGAAAGATGCTGGAAAGATTTTCATCGTCTCGGTGAACGATGCTTTCGTGTAAGAAACCGGAACATACTTCCCACCGATTTATTGGTGCTTATACGTTCAGCAGCACCAAAGCTTGGGGCAAGGCCCTGGACGAGCATCAGAGCAGCGGAGTCCGCTTCCTGGCTGACCCGGCTGGTCAATTCTCCAAAGCTTGGGATGTCTTATTCGACGCTACCCCTGCCCTGGGAAATCACCGAAGCAAACGCTACGCCATCACCACTCAGGATGGCCAGGTTGTCAAGGTCTCCATCGAAGCCGAGCCCGGCGCTGTCACAGGTGTGTTGTCTATGTATATCCATGAGGCTGGTTGTTTCTGACACGCACAAGTTTCCGGAGCAGCCCAGCATTTGTGACGTGAATATCCCAAGCCATTCCTCCTTCAGATGAATTGGGAGCCCAGCTGCACCTGGGTAGCAGCCGTCTGGGCCACAGTCTATACACACAGATTAAAAGTTGTAAGGGTCAACACGCGAGGACATGCACGACAGATGCTATCAATGAAATATTTCAACATTCCATGTCAGGGTTCGTTATTGCCCGCACGAAGTTTGGGGCGAATTGAGTTGCTAAGTCTTTGCTAAAACGTGATGTAACCGTAGTCTATGTGGGAAGTAATTGCCTTTACCCTCGGAGCTGTCCCTAGCTTTGTTACAAGGCCTGTCGATAAGACCCGATAGGTATGCGTAAACCGGGTTCCAAACTAGTTGGTGGGGGAACGTCTAATGCCAGACCGATTGGTTCTGACACGTTAGGGAGGAAGATATGAGGTAGATTCATTAGTAAGGCACAAAGTGACCCTTGCTTAACCGTCCTAGTTCGGTCAGATTTATGTGCTAGTTTTCAACCAGGTTAGCATTGAAGCAGTCATTTCATATCTGTGCAACAGAAGCTCATTCCGAACGCTTGAACCCTAGTTGCTCAGTTTTTTAGGTATATCTTTAGGTGCTAAGATTTTGATCGTAAGCATCGCAGCACCGATAAGTCTCCCCCAATGAAAAGACTTCGCAGAGTTCCTCGGGTTACCCCCTAGTACGACGTCTAGTTAATCAAGGGGGATTTCACAGTTTTTTACAGTCACTTAGACGTAAGGACAACGCGCCATCGCTATCAGTCCAATTAGGCTCAAGTAGAAGATTTAACCTATGCGCAACTCTGCGCGGAAGTAACGAAAAATCCCTCCTACATCTTCGTATACTCGATAGCAGTGAGGCAACAGTGGGGAAACAGAAGGAGTCTCCGGCTCGATGGAAATTCGCGGCCACGCCATTCAACCATGACGAAGCGCTGACGTGAAAGTGCTAAGGGGCCTGTTCATGTGTGGAAAGATTAGAGGTTTAGAGTTGTTTCATTTTTGATGCTTCAGACCTTGGAATTGTACGTGATGGTAGTGATGGTACAGGCACATATGCCACCACCTGACAGATATAACCTGCCAAGAATAGGATATCGCCTAGACTTTGCTGCGCCGTGTGTGCAAGAAACTTCACAACATGCCTACAACATCGGTAATCAGAAGTCAAGGCTGGATAGAGGAGAACTCCGGCCCAAAGCATAACATGATGGATTTATCCTTGCTCTCCCATCCCTTCTTTTGTTGCATCTCATCGATTTGGAAGCTTTCGAGCTCATACTGGGGATTGCCCTATGAATGTTTTGTTTTGTGTCGAGTTCAAATGAGAAGGCTTCACGCAATCTTGTGTTAATAAATTAATGCTTCAGGGCGCTACAATACCTCTGGGTGATCCACTGACAATTGGCACATTACTATTGGGGCCTGCATGCTTGGTCAGGACACGCAACTTCTCACGTCAATCCGACAAGTATTTTCATGTCAGTTGCATAAGATTCCGACCAAGGCCTCCCAAGCTCCACCTGGGCATCAGAGCCTACCCAGTTACGTAGGTACGGTTAATTCAATCCTCGCCAAAACTAAACCCTGAAAATCCGTTCGCTCTTATCTCAGCAAGGGCTGTCCTGAATCTGCCCAACCCTCCAAAGAACACTCGCGGAGACACCCTTTTGTCAGGAACATTTTCACTAAAGAACCACGAAGGGGTCTTAGCGAAGAGTGTGGCATCCGCACCCTGAGCACATATCTTTAACTATTCTTCATCGGCCTCCTTAGTGCTCTCTATCACCCTAGTGCCCTACCCGGTCTTCCGAATCTCCTCTGCGTACGCTACTAAATCGGCCACGAACCGTGCGCCTTCTTCTGCCGCCGGTGGGTTGTTGGAGAAAGGTACACCCGGCCTATTGACGATGAGTAGGCTAGAAAACTCTAATGTCATGGCACCGTAATGTGTCCTTAGACTATTAACCTAATACTCTTCTAGACCCTTCCCTCCGCGGCCCTTAAAATTAATGTTGTGAAAACTACTATTTAGAGCGTTAAACTCTATTGCGAAAACTATTAGATCCACCTTATAGATCTTTTCGTCCCTCGTCTTAATGCCTATATAGAGGTAACTTCGACGATTAGTGTCTTTTTTAAGTTAATAGTAAAGATATTATCCTAGTTAAACCGGTTATAGTATTTATCATCGGTTAGTGATCGTCGGGCGAACTAGTTAGACGAGGTAAGTATTTCCGCTTTTTAGGAATTCTTCACGATCTCCTTAATCTTCTTATAAATAAACTTAATAGCTTCCGTATTTATCGCTTCGTTAATAGTAAGATTTAAGAATTCTCTAAAAAGAAATCGAAATCTACTACCTTAATCCTAAAGATTCCAAAAAATTGCTTCCCACTTCTCGGCGGATACTGAAAAGGTCGGTCTCGCGGGTTCCGCGAATCTAAAGACTATTGTAGATGTAAAAATCTAGTTCTAGATCTCCTTATACCGGTTATTAATTTATTTTCGTTCCTCCGGTAGTATAGAGCGGAGGGCCGTAGGGAGTATATACTATAAGTGTCGAATAAAATGCGTTAGAGTTTTAGCTAATTTAGCTAAGGCGCTCGAAAGTTGTACGCCGGACGCTTCGCTTCCTATAACTGTAATCCTGTGGTCTTTCTATCATATTTCCGGGGTCTACGATGCACTATAAGTAATTTACCCTTTAAAATTATCTAGTCTAGGGATATCTAGTAGATACTTCTTATATACAAGGCTAATACCTATTACTAGATAGCGAATCGTAAATACCTCTCTAGTGCTGACCTTTAATTACTAAATGTTCGATAATTCGTCCTAGGTAGCTCCCTTTAGTTCTATATTAAACTGGATATATCGATATAGATTATACTTATAAGCCACCTCCTAAAAATACGCCTAGAGTTCTAGTTATGTAAGATAGTTATTTAGCCACGGTGACTCCTGTAAGAGATTTTTGTCCCATGAATAGCGGTAAACATGACTTTCGACATCACTCCTAGCTCCAGGGTAGCAGTTCCAGTGCCAAGTGCCGCCAATATCTACTGCCGAATCAACTGCTTTCACATTCAATCCAAGCTGTGTGAGCAGGTACAATACATATAGCCCAGAAAAGCCAGTTCCAACGACTAATGCATCATATTCTTGCTCAATCGCCATGCTAATTTTTTGCTTGTGTAGGTTCAACTCAAAACTTGAGGTATCGCCAGGTTGTAAGTAGAGTGAGACCGTAAGGGAGATGTCACCACGATCAGATGCCTTGTGACCTCAAGGTGAAGAAATCAGTCAAAAGGTATGAAGCAGATAAAGTATCCATGTATCTAGGTGACCTCCAGGTCCACAGGCCATTCACGCCAGAGAGAGGTATTACAATTCTTTACCATTCTCAACAAACCCTTCCTCATCTGTAAGTTGGATCCTTACAAGTAACGCGCGTCAGCCCGCAGTTAGACAGTCCGTCCAGCATGGAGGCGTTTACCGTCCTTAGCCTTGCTTCAACATCCGTCTCCAATCTCTATGCACGGATTCTGGAAGATCACCCGATGATTATGACTCACGTTGCGCAGCACAATCCAGCAATACATCGGTTCAGGGTCAAAGGTACGAATACGCTGTGGGTTTAAAATTCGCGCAGAGATGCTCGGGTGTACCATCGGTCCAGCATCCGATTTCAAAACCCATCCGTTTTTCTTAGTCACCGAGATCGTAGTTTTTTCGGCACATTGAGCGATTTTCGGCCCAGTGCCGCACCACATTGGTATACTCTCTCTCGAGTCTTTATCCTTCCTCCTTTATGTCACATGCAGTCATAGATGGAGGACGAGGCCGCCCTGTTTTAGAACCGTTATCATTTCCCGCAAATGCTTAGCATGATCAGCCAGTAGAAATATGGATTGCATCGGGAACTCTGAATGGAACGCCTCGACCAGCCGATTCCGATCCCTTGATGGCCATAACAAGGATAATGAGATTGTTCTCTGACTTGGCTTGATTGCCTGTTTCACGACGCCACAAGGCTTATGCTAACTTGAGTGAGGGCAGCGCAGCAAGGGCTTTTTGTACTATACTATTCTTCCTACTCAATTCGCTCCCGACGAGTCATGCTATTTCCGATTCGGAGACCGTGTGCCTAAACATAATTCGCTGCTTCCCAAGTTATTGAAGTCAATATACATGTCTGAGGCGCGTCGATCCGGGGACGTTTGTCACAAACGAAGGTGTTCTGTCCTGACCGAGGATAAAGCTCTTACAGTGAGCGCGAGATATTGTTGACGTGTGTAACCTTCGAAATTGGATGCTTGAAGGCCTGAGTCGACTGTTGGTCCAGAACAGGAAACATCTTCGGCCAAGTTGTTTTTAACGAGGTGGTCCGCCACAGATTGAGCGCGCTTTATATGCACACATTGTATTCCGATGCAGATGAGAAGCTCAGAGAGGTTGATCTCAATGCATAAAAATAGACTTCATCTCGTCGCAGCGGAAGTTGTGCACAGAATGTGATAAATACGCCGCCATGCATGCATCTTATTCGAGGAACGGCTGAAGGCTGATCTACGTATCACAGTCGCATGTAATACCTCCGTTAACAAGAGCAGTATCAGTCGTGACCCGATTGCACCAAGCCTCATGCTGGCCGCCAGGTAAATCGTCACCTGCAGGCCAAGGTGGAAGCAGTAGCAGGTATCAAAAGGGCCCAGTAGCACCACGCAGAGAACCAACATGCATGAACACGTTCAGGATGAGACATTGCTGCAACAAGGAGAGATACTGGGAATTTGCGAGTACGAGCAGCATCGGGTAGTAATAATGATCACTGGCCCCGTCCATCTCAAGCACATTGGTGCTGCACTGTCGATGCAGACCTGCGTCGACCGTCAGCCCAAATATCCTCTTCTTACGGATTGAAAAGTGGGAATCGGGCAATCACTCTCCGAGGTGCCCCGAAATACATCGTTCAACCAATGCGCTCCGACAGGGACAAGAATATGCTTTTCTCAAGCGTCTTGCCAAAGTTGGAGTTAGTCCGATGTTACGTATTCCCTTGCGACAATGATCCCCGTTGAGGGGTGTGGCGCAGGTTTAGCGTTGGCCATTGGCCTGCAGTTTAAGATGCGAGAATGCGCGAAGCCCGCAGTATCTCTGCTGGCCGACTCCCTGTGTTCGTAATGTAAGCAGAAGCGTATCAGGCTATGCGTTGCGTCGTGTTGTGTACGCTATCGGCGCCTTGTCCCGGAGCGACATCGCGCCGGTTCTCGCGGGACCAAGCTCGCACCTCCATGAAGTAGACGGGGACATATTTATGATTATACAATGACGCAGTGAGGTTTGTACGTTTTATGCTCATGCTACAAGATAAATAAAGCGCTTCAGCCGTGAATTTCGAGAAATCCTGGACAAATGAAAATTGATTGACATCTATAACCAGCAAGAAAAAATGAACTTTATTCGATCTGTGTCATTGGCGTTCAGAACTAAACCACCACAGACAGGTCCAAATGGCCAGGACGCGCTCGAGCGCAAGCATTACACGCCCGCGCCTTACCATGCGCGTTGGACAGACATGACCAGACTTGATGAGCAAACTCACCATGAAAATAACCAAAAGTTGAACAGCCATCTGAGTATGCGCTGCGGTCAGATAAAGAAAAGCAAGGCGGTGAGTGGAGAAGGAGTATAGCGAACACAGGTGGCAGGACGGACATCGGACGCTAGGAGTTATTTGCGACCTGCTTCAAGCGTGAGCCAGCCCCGCAAGAACAGAACTCACTATCGAGTCCGAACCTCTTTGCCCTTGGGCAGAACTCGCCCTGACTCGATGTTGTCAAACGGAGTACAATTTTTCATGATCAGACGCAAAACGCGAGAGGGTCAACGGCGGACATGTATAGTTCTTGTACTTGCGATCGTGGATCTATGGTCCAAGTGCACACTTGGGTTATCAGGGGTCACGTGCTAACTACCGCCATTGACCTTTAATGGAACAAGTGAAGCAGACCTGACCCGTCTACATCTACAGCCGAGAAGCCAGTCTCATGATACGGTGGCGCTTTGGGAAAGTGGGATGGCACTGTCCCATTTGGGATTATTTGGTACTTAAAAATGTTTTACATGTGCTCACGATGCATTTTATTCGTAGTAGCACACTCCTGCCGGACCAAAAGCAGAAGGTAGAGTTCTCCATGGTGCCCACTCAACTTGATTTTGCTGACCGATGTCCCAGCTTGTCCCATAAACCAAGAAGAAATGCATGACACGAAGTACTTCATAGGAGTTTATGTGCCAATCAGAGATTGAGAGCGCTAAAGAAGAGGGGCCTTGAGGCAAAACAGAGCAGGGGAATCTTAGCCCCTGTGATTAAATGTTATGGGAGGATCGAAAGCAAGAAAGACGGTAGATAGCCCTGTCGAAACAGTGAGACTTTATCATGCTGGTATTGCCTGGAAGGACAAGAGTCAATCAATCAATCATCAGTCAGTACCTGCGATGCATTTCCTGCCTCAACAAATGCTGCATACGCACAATATGAGCTTTGGTTACAACGGCACCACAACCGTCGGGCGGTGGACGGGGAGATCAGGGCCCGTAAGTGAGGGCTTTGTTTGCCGTTTGGCGTGTTAAGACTCAGCAACATGGCCATGCCCCGATGAGCGTACCTAACCAAAAACTTTGCTTTCGCGCATCCACAAAGTCAAATCTTGAATTACTTGATAGGAAACCACGACTAAAGTGATTTTCATATGTTTTTGGATCTCTTCGATCATTCTTGACTCAATTGCTGTGTCCATTCACGGTAGCATCTGCAAAAGCATGAACCCTCGATACATATTTGTCATGTGAGCTGTGCCATCTACCATGCCTGTCTCCAGCATTGGTCAAAGCTCTATCGCACGACTTAGTACCTGGAATGATGCTACACTGGCGACGAGAGCAGCGGTGAAGGAAGAGAGATCAAAAGACGTCGGTCCAATCGCCAAACACCACCGAGGGGTACACATAATACATCACTCGGCACTTCGGATAGACGGACTCTGACCCTCCTTATTATGAATGCTTGCTAGCCAGGATTCACATCCACGCTTCCAATGTCTTAACCAGATCTATAGCTAATGGTAGCTTCATCAGAGGCATATACTGTTGAGACCCGTGTACGTCATTTTCCATATAACCTCCGGAACAACGAAGCTCCCGGTTCCTTTTCCTCGCGAGAGTCAGCTTGAAAGCTAATGCTTGATCGAAGAAGCCGCACCATACCACGTCACTGACTGGACGCTGGAAGAGTCGCACCATCGTCTCTTGGGTAAGCAATCCGGATCTTTTTCACGGCCTTGTAGACACGTGTGTCGTCGAACATGATGTCAAACGTAACCTGGAAGGGCCCTGCATTTTTGGAGCGGATAAACTTTGCAACGTCCTTAAGTTCTTGGAGTCGAGCAGGAGCCCTTTTTACGCTGGTCTCCGAAAGCGTTTTCCCGAGCACAGGCATTCCTACGCCCTTGCTGCGAATGTCCATTAGCGGACCGGAAGTGGTTTCGTTGGAGTCTGGGTCTTTTATTGCAGGTGGGTCGAGCGTCGTGACCAGCCACGGGAATAATCCTTCTGTTGTGTGGCATTTAGGCACCACTTTCTGCCTGTCGGTGGTTATCAAGGATCCATATTCTTCTCCTTTTGCAAGGTTCATTAGATGATAGATCGAGAACTGGCAACAGGGTCCAACATCCAACTCTGTCATGCCGCCAATGCCGAAGGCAAAGTTACCAGACGTAGCCATTTGCCCTCTGTACGCACCGTGTGAGCAAAATATCCTTGCCGTCGATGCGATGGTCTTGGACAGGGTTGGAGAGTCTGCCAGAACCTCGCCCACGATGAAGCCTTCCCCGGTGATGTCATTTCTATCGCAATGGTTCGAACCATTGCCGGCAGCCTTGGGTAGCCTCGGTGGAGCACCGTGAACATGAAAGTCAAGCTTCCACATACCATCCATGTCTGAATGCTGCGCTGCGCAACGGTTTTTGACAGTGTCGAGGTAGTCATATATTCGATTCGTCAGGATGGGGTCCACAAAAGAACCTAGGAAGATTGTTCGAGAGCCAATGACTCGGGCACCCTCGAGTTTGACGGTATAGGGCTTGCTCTCAGATGTGGACAGAATGAATTCTGCTCCTCGAACTCGTACAGTTTTCCCATCCGGCAATTGTTCATAGGTTGTCTGACCTACGTCGAGGCATCCGCCGGGCCCATATAACAGGTCAGGGCGCGATTTCTCATAAAGAGTATGAGCAGCGACACTAAGTGGGGTGCATCGAGCCATAGGGTCCATGGGAGATATATCAAACACCCCCTCCTCGTACACCAAGGCCATAGCACCAGGTGATTTGGGTGTTGCACAGAGACCGCCACATTCCATAATTTTCCCCATATGGTAGAAATTGCCCAGTAATTTGTTGCTGAGTGAGTCGAGCGGTAAAGACGTGGCCTTGGCCTGGTTCATGGCGCAGAATGCTACATAAGTTGCTGGGTCGTATGCTCGTCCGGTAACGATGATGTCAAAATCGGGGTTGGCTTGCATTGCTTATAAAATTGGCTCCGGACCCATTTGGGCGAGTATGCGAGGGGTCGAATCGATTTCGTCGGCCGTGAGCTGGGGGACCTTCTTCACCGCAGCCTGAAATCTGTCCAGCCGCAAGCCTCTCCTGAACGATTTCTTTCGATATTTCAGAATATACCGTAAAAATTTTCAGTGCCCTAGGATTGACAGGTTGTTTTTTAGTAGAGGCCAGTGCTCTCGCAGTCAAATACTGACCGACATTCCTGAGTAATGATCTCGGTGACAATTCGCACAAAAAGGTCAACATGTTCATTACTTCCATCTCCGCCGGCAGAAGATAAGAGAACAGGCAACCGGTAACGAATGACCACCTGGATAAGCTTGTGCAAGTCTCGTCGGTAAGATGCTTCGGGACAAGTCATGCTGCCTAGAGCCAGCTTGGATGGACCAGAATCTGTCGAACCTGAATCCATGATGATAGCTAGAGGGACCTGTGGATGGTTCTTGACCAGGCCATCAAGCGTAGTAAATAAGAGGTTTTCATCAAAGCCATGGCCCAACATGCCCATAGGCGTGACAATGGCACAAAGTGGATGTAGACGCTCGTGCACTGCTGGTTTGACGTCTTCCATGGCTTCTCTAGGCGGCGAGCTGGCTGGCGACATTGTATATGATCAAATGCTGAATGACTGAGCTCAGTTCCAAAGTGACTGAAGTAAGGACTTTAGAATTAAAGTAATTATGGTGACATTGCCAGTCAACTTTTTGAAGGACACATAATGTCGTCCAGCTTATGGAGGTCAGATTGTCTTTTATAGACTGTTTATGATGCATATGAGCCTAGGTCGTGTGCCAGAAGGATGGTGACTAGCGTCGAGCCTTCGAAAATATGAATCATTTGACGTGCCTGGGAGCTGGTCATTGACTTGGCTTCCCGCGGCCACCATTCGGGGATCCTGGGCAAACGCCACGAGCGCAATTCGCTCAGCTGCGTTTAAATGACTTCATCTTCCCCAGCCAGACATGGCTCGATCATCGTCAGCATGCACCTGATTACAACTGAGTCTGGACGAACACGGCTGCAGGGCGTTTCCACTGCTGATTTCGACCATCCTGCATCGGATTTTGCTTGAGAGCTTGTTCTATGGGAACAAAATCTCGCAGATGTTGTCGTAATGCAACGTGTTCGTCCGTTGGAACTGACAAGCTCAAGAGGGGTGGCACTAAACTCCTGCAGTTCGTATACAGCGATAATATGCAGTGCAACCGACCTCTTCTTTCTTGCACAATGGCTTGTCTCGGTGCACAGCCGTTTCGGTGATGGAATCTGATGTGCGTAAAAGTTAAATAACACGGACTGAGGCTCCCAAATGCAGGCTTCTCCAACGAGTACGCAGGACTCGGGTAGTACGCAACTGCACGACATGCACACGCTCCCAGATTGCATCACTACCTTGCCCGATAGGGCAAAGATACAACACCGCGGACGAGCCTGTGAGAGGATTCGACCCCTCCTCACCCGATAGGTCAGCATTCCCACGTTGTTACAGTGTGTGGCTCACTCCTGGGATACGCCGGACAGCGAAGCTTAACGCCTAGTCTATGGCTAGCAACGAGAAATTCCGGAGCAAGACTGGTTCCCAGGTTTATTAATGCACCGTAGATCCGGACTGGTGCTTCTTATATCGCTGTGATCAATCCGTTCTCTGGAGACTTGCCTCGGTCGTCAACGGTCCAGGTTGCTTGTATCATGGGTATTCGAGGCCACCCCATCCTTCGAGCCTTCAATGGCCGGCTCGCGTTTGTCACCCTCATATTGTTTTCATCGTCCATCAACTATGGCCTGGACATCATCGCATTCAGCAGCACTCAAGCGCTGGACGCGTTTGAGGAAAAGTTTGGTGTGTTCGACCCGAAGAAGAAAACCTGGATCATCGAGCCTTATTTTTTGTCCCTGCTGAACAGTCTGACCTACGTCGGTCAGCTGGCGGGAGTGTTGCTGGGTGGTTATGTCAACAACCGATGGGGTCGACGCATGTCGTTTCGCATCATGACCCTCTGGGCGTGGCTCGGTGCCATCCTTCTCGTCACGGCGCAGGTTAAGGAGCAGATGCTGGCTGGTCGAATCATCAACTATGTGTACCAGGGGATGGAGATTGTGTCAATTCCCGTCATGCAGGCAGAGATCTGCCCGGCCCAGCTGCGCGGTGCGGTCGTGAGTTCGTACTGGATCGGCATCTTGGTGAGTACAATAGCAAACCCGGCATTTCAGCAGCGCTAATCCGTTCGGTGAGATTGGATCTTTGATCATGTCCTTAGTCGTTTACGGCACCAAGCACATCGAAGGAGAAGCGTCCTTTCGCATTCCCTTCGGCATCTTCTTCATAGTCCCCACCTTGGTTTTTGTTTCTACTAGGTGGATGACCGAGGTACGTGGTCTCCACTTTGCCCCGAGCACTCGTTACCGGGAGAAATAACCAATGGTTTTAGTCTCCGCGCTGGCTCCTAACTCAAGACCGACCTGAAGAGGCTCTCATATCACTCAGGAAATATCGTCAAGGCAATTTCACCGAGGACGAGATTATGGAGGAGTATGCCGAGCAGGTTGCCCTCATCAGTACCACGAAAGCACGGGGCACACTGAAAGAGCTATTCCAGGGGCCAAACCGAAGGCGGACCATCATCGCTGTCCTCTTCAACATTATCCTGCAGATTACCGGGAACGCGTTCGTGATCAAGTATGGCACCATCTTCCTCAAGGACATCAAGGCGGTGGATCCGTTCGCTCTCAACAATATCAACTCGTCACTCTATATTGTCGCGACGGGCTTGTGCATGTATCTCTGCGAGCACAAGCTGTTTGGCCGCAAGTGAGTTCCTGTACGCGGCCTCTTTCTCGGCCAGTCCTTGCTGACTTGTCACGTACAGGCGTCTTTTATTGATCAGCTCAGTTGTTCAAGCTGGCGCTTTATTGGCGCTGGCGGGCATCGGCACCCACAGGGTCATGTCCCACACCGACGGCGTGGCCATTTCGTCGCTGTTAACCATCTCTTACTTTGCGTTCTGCTTTGGGTGGGGTCCACTCAGCCATGCGGTGACCGCCGAAATTCCTTCTCCCCGTAAGGACGTTGAGCCTTGAATGATCTCCAGCGCACGTCATGACAATGTACGCTAACCATCCAACAGATCTTCGAAATTATACCTACGCCCTGTCCAGCTCTGGCAATGTCCTGATATCGTTTCTCGTCGCGTTCACGGTGCCCTATCTTTACTACGAGCCCTATGCAGCGTTGGGCCCGAAAATCGGTTTTATTTACGGCGGCGGAGCGGTCATCAGCTTTGCCTTTGTCTGGTTCTGCATCCCCGAGTGCCGCGGCCTTACCTTGGAAGAAGTCGACCATCTTTTCAAGCAAGCCACACCCATCCGGGAGTTCTCAAAGCACAAGACTGGCGCCGTCTTGCCAGTTAATGTCAAGCAGACCCTGGAGGAAAAGGTCCTGGTGCCGGCAATCCACAACGAGACGACGTTAGCGGTGTAGAAGCACTTGGTGCTGGACCAGAATCTGCATTTGACATGAGGTTTGAAAGGAACGGAAGTGAAAGAGATGGAAGTGAAAGATGTGGAAGTCGAAGAAATGGAAGTCAAAGAAGGGGAAATAAAACATGGAAGTGGAATTTACAGCAGTTTCGGGTAGGGAAATCGTTTGCGCTCTCAAAAGTCTTCGCGTTTTATTCGAATACACCTTCGGTCAAATCACTTTCCTGTCTCAGTGGTGTCATGACTCACGTATCTGCCGGGTTGTCAGTTTTACACAATTCCTTGCCCAGAGTATCACTATCTTACCCTGCACAGGCGGAGTTTGTCCAGTTTCACTTTGTACGAGACATAGGTTCTTTGGAACTGTAGGGTTTGTGCACTCCAAGTCTCAGTTGATCCCGCGTCTCCTGGCTGCAGGTTTGTCCTCGTCCTGTTCTCGTCCTGTTCTCCCACGATCTCACAACGCGATTTCCCCCGGCTTACGGAACCACGATCGCTCCTCGGTGCGGATGGATCTCGTGCTCCTGACATACTGAAAGCGCGAATTAGGTCTTTCGATGATGTTAAATCTACTGCCCGACCTGGCTGAAAGAATCCGAATCTTCTTCAGATTTCTCTCTTCGATTGTAGCAGGAGTGACCGGTCTTTTGATACTCCGATCACCCGGACTCTCCACCACACTACGAACATCGAGTCCGGGAGCCCGTCACTTCCCATTCCCATGATCTAGTCTTGTAGTCCGGCGTGGCGATTTACGACGGTGGAAGTGAATGTTTTTATTTTGTTCTTTGTTTACCTCCTCAGGAATAAGTAGGGGCACGGCGAGCCTTACCTCTTACTGCCAAAGCCCCATTATCAGCAAAATCGGGCAAAATGAAAGCTGTATCGAATATCATATCTATTGTTCCTGGGCCCCTGTAAAAGCATAAAGGTGTCGCATGCACACGGTATGACCCCTCAAATGCTGGCCTTGGAAGGAGAGCAATTCTTGAGCTCGGTGCCTCGGTGAAGCTGCGCAACCACTGAGCACATCGATTTAGGCCACCAGTACTGCTTTTCATCGGTGTTATCCATGGATCTTTCGTGCAAAATGGCGTGCAACTTCGTGATGTCGGAAAAGCCCAGATCGCCAAGCCATAGGTTTTCCTCCTCCGCCGGCAGGAGAAGGACCAACCAATGGGCGTAGACTTCCCACGCCAAGAGTTGAATGTCGTGTTTGACGGTGATCGTGGCCCCCGGGTCTCTAGGTCTCAATGGTGACATCAAGATACGGAAATAGTCGTTCGGAACACGTTCGATGAAATGGAAGACGACTGGATTGAAGAGCCATTCGGGCTGAAGATCCACGGCCTTCCTGATCGATTTCGTTAACCCTATTGGCTGTGTGCCTGGCTCAAAGTTTTGTGGAATGAGCATCTGCGAAGGCTCGAGCGTCGGCTGTTCAAACAGTTCTTTGCTGACGGCGGTGAGGATGTCCAGCGCCAGGGAGCATGCGGCAAGTGATACCGCATTCGATATCTGCGAGGACGCACTTCCGTCAGCCACGTGAGCCGGCTCGTTGCGTAGACACTGCCGAACTCTTTGGTGTAACGCATCGATCCGAGTCTGCAGGGCGCCAAATGCGGCTGTTCTCGTGTTCAAGATCAGAGACATCAGAAGATATCGAGACGTCGAGGACGGAAGTGGCGGATCTGTGGAGAGCACCCATGGATTCTCTTTGCCGCTCTTGACGAGGTGTATGAGGTATGACGTGATGGCTGATTCTAGAATGTCAACGTCACCACTGCTCGATCCATGAGTGGTGACTGGCAGACACAAGTCTTCATCCTGGTACGCGGTCCTGATGATGTTCATACCTCGGAGCATGACCGCCCATTCCAGATTAGTCGGGACGTCTTCGTCAATTCCACCTCGACTCATGTAGTGCTTTTCCACACGATCCATGAGGCGATAGACTCTCCTCCAGGCCAGCGCGCAGGAAAAGAGGATGGCCGTTGAGATTCGCGCGACTTCCAGACCTTTGGGCTTCTGTGTCGCCACATGGCACTGGAGACGTCCCAGAGCTTTCCCGTAAAATTGCCGACTTGTCTGGAGTAGACGGGTTACGCGATCGAAGGCAACCGGTGATTCGGTCCCATGGAGGATCTCTATGCAGCCTAAAGCTGCCGACGCCGCCAGCACGCTATATAAGATTCCGCGACTGTTCACCGCCATGGCTACATGCGACAATCTCTGCGCGTAAGCGCTGTGCGGTGTAGATCCAAGGGTGTGCAGATCGGGTCTGAGATAGTGTTCAATCACATGGAGATTGCCAAAGATGGTGCTATCGAAATCACCCGGCCCAGTGGGACCATTCGGGGAACTGAGCTCTGACTCTGATTCTGAGCCAGCCTGCGACATTGGCGACAAACGCAGGAACGCCAACGAGCTTTCACTGCCCATCTGAAGACACGACGCCGACTCGACACATCTGTACCCGGATCCGGGCGACGGAAATGCGGTGGCCGACGTCTGTGGATCGATCAGAGCAGAATGGTACTCACACGCCTGCTTGCGCACGACACAATTGTTACATGATGGTTTGCCCTCATCGCACTAAAGCCGTTGTTGGTTAGAATGAGCTGGTCCTTCATCAGGGTGAGCATCGGGCATACCTTGATTCGTCGTCGCCTACAATATCTGCATCCATTGCGTGATTTCGTGTGAGGTCGCCGGGCTCTGAAAGGTCGTGAACCACGGGGAGTTTCCATCTTGGATTCTGCGGAGGCTGGGTGGACCGAGGAGCTCGTCATTCTCTGCTGCGCTTGCCACCACAAATTGAAGGAGAACCGAGCCCGCTGGCAGACTTGGCAGTCGTACTATATGTGCAATGGAGAAGGTCACCATGGGAGCATCACGATGCCCATAGGGAGATGATCCTACCTAATTCAGCACACCTACCCAATCCAGTGCACCTGAACGTTTTCCACTACGGACTTAACAACTCCTCTTCGTGAGAGGCTATTCGGCTTAAGATTAAGCTTTCTATGTGGGATATTAGTTGTGCTAGGGACACGTCGGCCTGATTACAGATCCGGACTCAAGTGCCGTGACGATGAGTGAAGTCCGCTGGTGTCTCGCTAGTCCCAAGATCAGTGGGGGCTGAAGGTTCGCCGACGGTAATCGAGACTGGCACGGGTCCTACGTGCCGAATCTCGTGTGCACATGTCCGCATGACGCGGACAAAGACCATTTGCAGAGGGCGATCCGGGGAGGGACAAAGGGTAAGCAAATCACCGTGTGCCTGGCTGCTACCTATCCGCAGACATAGGTGATTGGACACGTCATCTTCAGGCTGGCAGGCTCGATGAGTAGCTGGACCGCTCTCGTGACAAGGTCAACCAAACCTAGGATAGTTCGCGGAATTGAATGGTGAGATCAGCACCTCCTCACATTGTTCTCAAGGCTCTCATCTCAAGGCCCTCATCTACTAAACATACTACTGTATGTGTGGCAGAATCAGAAGTCATTTGCATTCCGCTCACCGGCGTCCTTCATGAGGAATGGAACCTAGACCCGACACTATATTTGGAGTTCCCCATCTGCGTCAAGAAGAGCATAACCTTGTGTTGACCGAGTCTGCACCTTCAGTACCCTCAACGCGAACACCAGGTATCACGAGGACGGCTATGGCAGATTCGTCAAGGAAGATCGGTCTGTCTGGAAATTGGTGGACGATAAGCCTCCGCGAGTCCCAAACTCATCTTCAAACAACACGATATCTTCCCGTAGGCCTATGTGGATATATAGATACATGATGAGAGTGCCTGTGAGAAGTTCTACCGAATGGTATACATTACTGGAGATCAATCGAAGTTGTCTGTACCCAACCGCTGCCACAGACACTCGTCAGACCCAAATTGTGGTCAGACGCCTAGCATCAAAGGAAACGCCAAAGTAGTCTTTTGACCTGGCGCCGTAGTTTTTGACTTCTGGAGAGTCTCCAGGAAACCGCTATTCCCCGCTACCTGCCAAAAGTGAAACCGGAAGACGTGTTATCTCCCAGTTCGTTTTCACCACATGGAAACGATGGTTGACCGCGGAAAAATATCCTCCATATCTAGTGTCCCTCCGCAGTGCCGCCATTGAGGCCGACGACAAGTTCGAGGCCTAGCACGTAGACCATGTAGGTGGGGAAAGCTAACCAGAACCCGTTGGGAATGACCCAGATCCAGGTGAGAGTGGACCAATCGTTGTGTCCGATGTGAGAATAATCTCCGAAATACTCTTGTGGCCCTGGTGGTGACAGTGTCATTTGGCCATGGCGCCAGGAACCGCTGGAGGAAAGGGGACTCACAGTATAAGACCGACTTGCTCAGTGTCATCACGGTGGCCGACCACAACACGAGCACGGCCGCGGCCACTTCTGGACCACTGACCAACGTTCTGGCGCTACCACCATAGAATTCCGTAACGTTGCGGGCCGCAAACAGTGCCCTCGCACTCGTACTCTTCTTCCAGACGGTCCACAGGTAACGGAGATACAGAAGTGTCTCGACCAAATTCAGGAACCCTCGTGCCGCGTTGAAGCCATCATGGCTGTTCCAGGCTGGCCAGCCGTAGACATAGTCAACTCGACCATACAGCTCGTACGGCGCCCAGATTGGTTTGTGCAGCCAACCACCAGGCATAGTGTGCGGATGCAGGAAGATGTATCCTGCGTCCCACAGTACCAGTGATAGGGATAGACAGAGCCAGATCATCAGCAAGGGTGGCACCCGATGGGAGTAGTAATGGGATTTCGAGGCTGCGGAAAGGCCTGACGTCCGCGAGGTCATATCCTTTAGAGACATGCTCACTGTACCAGCCGATGTATTGGTGAGACGTTTGGTCGAAATTATAGTGGTCGATGCTTGATAGGTAGGAATCAAGGGTAACTCGGTTGTGACGGACAAAAAAATCCAGACGATGTTGGTAGAAAAGAGTCGTTACAGCTTAAGAGGTCTCTCAGCCGTCAACTGGACTTGTTATCCCTATGAGTTGTGAAGCGCGTCCTTCTCTTGTTTTACTTACTCGAAAGGAATTGTCGGAGTATTGGATGGGTAAAATCTTCCTGGCTGACTTGTTCGATCGCGAAGACTGTGTAAGATGCCGAGATAGTCTGTAAGTAGTGACCGGTGGTCTCGTAGATTGATCGCGAAGGTGTACGGATGGAAGTGGCCTTTTACATACATTTCACAATTAGCAACGACTCAAGTAGATATACTAGACAACCTACATGTGAGATGACCCAACGCGACTTGCGAGATTCCCTTGACGCTCCTTCGCCGACTCGAATACGGACGATAATTCTACTACAATTCCAAATGGCTTTTTGGAAGACTGTCAATTGTGGACCGCTGTTAAAGTCATCACCAATTTATGATGACGTAGATCCCATTATACTTATACTCCTAAAGGCCAGAAAATACGAGATAGAGATATATAAGATGGACGGCAAATTTCTCCCTGTCCTTTGCCCTCAGCTAACTAGATAGACTGCTTCGTCGGCCGAGACCAATGCCAAACCTTATTTTCCGAGACCGACGACAGTTTCGGCGCCGATTTTCGCAATTTAGCGTACTCTTGTGTCCTTGAATACGTCCCACTCACCTAACCACAAGGGAAAGAGCCCGGGGGCCGTTATGCGCAAACCACTGGATGATAGCGATTCTGAAGACTATGGCAATGGAGCACTCATCCGCCCACTGAGTAAGCGGCCATGATTGATTGCGGTTAGGCACCGGCGGAAAAAATATGTACGTATAACATCTACGTAGTAATACCGTAACTCTGCGAGAGCACATTTTCACCAATCTAGAAGGGTGATGACGGTGCTGACACTGAATGCACCTCGACGGACGAGGAAATTTCCGTATGTATAGATTAACCATGCACCACTAGAAGCTATCTAGGGAGATGAAGGTGGGTACATTTTATCTACTGGGTGTTTTTGGAAGGTATGGGTTCAGATCTCGCTCACGGCGGAGTGGGTGTACAGTGAGGCTACAACGTCGGGCTCTAATACGAGTAAATCGAAAACTGACATAACGTAACATAATAATGTAAAAATGATCTGTTCTGGGGCTTCCCTGGTGGCGGCATGCCCGTACGGCATCATTGTCACGCGAGAGAGCTTGGAGGCCTTGATTGGAGTTATCCACTTTTTAAGTTGGTCGACCAAATATCGGGATCTTCCGTCGTGCACTTTTAACTCAATTTATCCAATAACAGCCAGTGCATCTGCCCCACATTGACAACCCCAGATCTAACCATTTTCGGCGCCTCGATAGCTAGTCCACCCACCCCTTGTTGACAGGGGCGGCCCTATGCCAAGATTTCAGAGACGAGGTCCTACATTAGCGGCATGCTGCCCTGATCGCTTAATCATCAACTAACGGGTCCATCGATTTAGCTCCCGAAACGGAGTCTCAGGGAAAAGTATTCATGCCGCGTCAACTCCTGCAAACCACCAACTCCAGCGATCCGGGCCGCTTGGTATATGAGACGCCTCGTTGGGTGACCGTAACGCCGATCTTCTCGCGGATAGCTACTGATAGGAAAGGTGAACACCGTCTGACCCCATCTTAGTTCAATTACTGATCCCGCAGGGTCGAACCACCTCCAGCTCTGGTCTCCTCTGGTTCGTGACCCTTCCTCGTTTTAGCTACTCCAACTACGGTCGCGAACAAAGTCGCCTACTGTATCTTGGTGCCTCGTGGCATGGAGGTCGTCTTATTCCCTCGTTCGATTTCTTTTATTCACTCTAGGACTTTTTATTATCTCCATCGGTATACTGCCTGGTCGTGACTGGCGCTGGTGGTAGGATGGCTTCTGTACCGCCACCACGACCTACTATTGTTTTCATTCCTGGTGCATGGCATGACCCTGAATACTTCGGAGATGTGATTCGACGTCTGGAGCGCGCCGGTCATCCATGTGGTGCCCTAACGCTGCCATCCGTGAGTGGAGCGGAGGCAACGGTCACATCCCAAGATGATATAGCACATATCCAGGGGGTGACTTCGAAGCTGGCTGATGAGGGTCAAGACATTGTCCTCGTTATGCATTCATACGGCGGGATTCCTGGCACAGACAGCGCAAAAGGGTTGTCCGTCAAAGAACGCAAACTCGTCGGCAAAAAGGGGGGATTATTGCGCTGGTCTACCTCTGCGCGTTTCTGCTGCCAGAAGGCTCTTCGTTGGGATCTTTCTTGGGGTCTTTCGGGCCAATCCCTGACTGGATCGTTGCTGATGCTCGTGCATTGCCGTTTTCCGCCGATATGTGGCTCAAGTCGGCGGTCGAAAATTACTAACTGACTGCAGGGGAATCGCTTAACGCTTCAGAACACCCACGAGATTATGTACAACGACCTTTCCGCATTAGAAGCCGCCCAATGGGCCTCCAAGCTGCATCATCACGCTGCGCTGACGTTTCAGTCGCCCTCGACGTATGCGGCCTACCAGAGCATTCCCGCGTACTACCTGCAATGTGGTAATGCTCAAGCTTACAGTAAAAGTTCAAACCCATTGGGAAGATTGTTGGATTATCTTTGCACTGGTACGCATTAGACCATCATCCCTGCCCCCATTCTGACCGCAGGGTAATCATTCAAAGCATTTCAACTACTGGCTTGTGGGACCGGCATCCTAAATATTATTGGTATGACAAGCAAGTGAGATGACGATCCTCTATTGCTAGACGAGGGCGCAATTGAGGGTCAAAATTATGGTGCTCAAAAACGTGTTTAACAACACTAAACACATCCACATGTCGACAATCCAGCGCCGCTCGGGTTGAACGATCATCAGATCCAGTTCTTCTGGCCATTGTGACATTGTCGCCCATATCAGAAGACAGAACTATTCAACAACAATTCGTTCATGCTTCAACATCACCATTCAAATTTCTGAGTTATTGACAACGATTCCTCCTCCGGCATCGTTCACCTCCCATTTTGACCATTCATGACACTTTTCGGCCGCGTAAATTTAAACTATAACCCCACATGAAGCTCAAACTCTGACGGGGAGGTAGGACTTACCAATGTGGAAATTGGGTATAATCAAGTTAATGACCAGGCAGTGAAAATATAACATGCAAAAGTACTACGTCTTACAAACGCTTCAAGACCTCCCGTTACTGGAGAAAGCCATTAAGTATCATGTAGGCGGTGAGTCTTTACATTGAGTCCAACCCCTAAAATAACGACATCTTCACGGGGACGATAGGTTAGCGTTCTCCTACCACGGAGCACGAGCCTCAACTGAGCAGCGTATTACTGTATAAGATATTTTTTCAAAACCATTTATTACGGGTTCGCTCTGCTCAGGTAGGGATGGGTTTCACGTATATTACAGTAGCACGATACTGCAGAAATAAACCGTATTCTGGCTTCATCGGTTGCTGCCTGCCAATAGATCATTGTCCTCGAAAAAGCTTGGCATCGCTGATCGGATGTATCCACTTTTTGAGTAGTCTAGTCGAGATTATTGGTTCGTTCGCTGTGAAAACGATCTTGCCAATGAGAGCCGCTGTTGTCCCCCACATTGATGACCTCTGGTCCCACCACTTCCGATGTCGAGACTCTGCAGGCACGATGTCGCGCACTAGCCCCGTCTTGATCCCTCTTTCGACGCAAATTGCCGTGCGCCAAAGATTTGCGACGCGAGAGAACGCGAGAGAACGCCAAAGAACGACCGGGAACCCTGACTTGGAGCTTTACCCACTAGACATGGCAAGACATAGTAGAATCCCACACCACGCGGAAGGAGTATTATACACTCATCGCGGGTCCGACATCCCAAATTTCCTAGCGTTCAAGGTTGTTGTCGGCCCAACGCCACTCGTGCAAGGGCTTGCATTAGCAGTGGGTCTGGGTTTCGCGCCTCCGTGGCAAGGTAATTCTGTGTAAGAGCATTGCAACGCCGAATTGTTATTTTACAGAGTCTTCGTGATGCGAAGTGAGGTTTACCTGGATACCGCGAGCTGCACAAACCCTTTTGAGCTTGGCCTACCCTCTGTCACCCGACATGCGTCTGTACGATTCCCACGTCCGATTAAAAGGTTGTCAGAAACGCACTAGCCAGAGGATAACCAGACTCAGCAGGCCTGCCATTGAGCACAGGTCTCTCGATGTCGGTGCTGGTTCGAGACTGATTACGGTGTTCTGCCCTTGCACACTTTGACATGAGAGCAAGCTCTGATTAACAGCCTGCTAAAATTAGTGACGATATCACAATTACCGCAGAAGCGAGTACGCCGATGCATTCGCTAACCCATCCACTCACCAAGAATGGTCTTGCATATTCACACCTACGCATCAAATTATTGGACGTCCTAGAAAGTGGGCTGGTTGCCACAACTGACACGTACTTAGCTACAGCTATTCTATCACCATGATTAGTGTTCTCCTATGCCGAAGATGATAATTTGCTCCGATCGCTTTTGAGATTCCACGCGTATAGTGCAGGGAAAATGCGCTCCATTCTTCTAGTTCTGCGAAGAGACAAAAAGGAATATGACTTCCGCGAACTCTACAGTGTGGCGTACCTGATGGGGATGCAGATGTTTGCTGAAATTTGTGCATGGACCTGCTTGTGACTAGGTTTCTGTACAACGCGTTTGCAGGCTCACAGCCAAAGTCTGCCAGCTATGAATAACTCCTTCACCAGCGGCCAAGGGCAGTGTCTGGCACAAAACTGTAGCTAATAAAGACATAGCTTTTTATGGTACTCACTGCTAGGCTGGAGATTCACGACAAACGGACCCCAAGGATGGAAAGGAATCTCGACCAGGTAAAACCATAAGCTCTTGCTTGGGGTGAAAGGACAATCGAGATGGTGTTGTAATGAGGACAATCCTGCTAGAACGGCCAAGATTCCCCCACAGCCTCTTTGGGGACTCATCCGTTCAGTATGAAGCAGTAGTGAGAAACCCGGCTACATGCTGGCGCTGGAGTGCGGAAGCGGTAAAGTAATACGGACATCGCCTAGGAGAATGTTTTTCTTCGAAGTCGTGCGCTCGACCGAAGTGCACCTCATCATCTCAGCGCGAATCGTAGGCTTCGGTCTTTCATTGTTATCCTGCGTATTGTATCTACAACTCCAACACCACGTGCTACATGATTGATTCCCTTCTGCCAAGCTCCCCACTACAGCCATTTGTAATTGCACGGGATCCTGATGCAGCGGTGTGACTGGCTGGCCCTCTGTAAGCACATCGAACAGCTGATCTGAGCATACCCGGTGCTATCTATTCATGGCAACAAAGAACCATAAAATAGACCTGAGTGTCGTCGAACAGTGGAAACTAAATGCTGAGAACTTTTTTAGAACTGAATATCTTTCAATCTATACGGACGAGAAGGCGACATCTCAGCCAGTGAGGAATGCGGCATCTGTGGAGTTCTTACGGTGGCTTGGACTTGTACTTGTCTCGTATTTACTCCGACCGCTTGGTCTTATCGAGATGCTACAGTATTGTGCAGAATTGACGCTGGCGACATGAATGAAAAATATTGAAGGGTTATATGTACCCATCTATAGGGTCAATCTTACCTTGACAAGTCAATATAAAGAAACGTGGGAAGCCCGCCGGACGGGTGTAAGTTACGTGAGTTGCACTGCAAAGTAAACTTTAGCTCAGGTGTTTCCATTTTACGAGTGATCCTCTTCGACCTACGTCAAGGCCACTACCGAGGGCACGATCAATCGGTGACGTCATTAGAAGGTGGCCATGAATATCGCATTTGTACTACAGGTCTTCATTATTGGCTTCTTCCTCTCGAACTACATGAGCCTTTCTGGTTTCGAAAAATCTTTGAAATTACCTAACCCCGTCAGCCAGTACAACATTCAATTAAGACCATAATGTCTTTGCAACTTGATTCACTTCGGAGGCGCGCGACCGCTGTGGGTGCTGCTAACGACTAAGCCAGCGCCTAAGCCGAAGCTACAGAATGGTTGTTTCCCGAAGGGGGGAAGGAAGCGTGGAGGTGCTTATTCGGTTCGTTCGCATTAATAGTGCCATCTTTTGGTTTCTAAACCGCTAGTGCGTCCACTACCTTCCATTCACCACCGACTATATATTGATATAGTAGAGTAGTTAAAGTAGTCCACGACTATATTACGATATACTAATTATCTTCGCACTCTTAACGTAATATAGACTGGATCTCTATATTAATAGTCTTCTTTACTCTATTACTTAGAGTTTAAATCGGCCCTCTCTTTAATCGATATAGAGTATACTACTTAGTGCTATATGGCTCTATTCTAAGCGTAAACTCTTATTTCCTCCTCGCTTAGTGTGTTGAATATTGGTAATTTATTCTCTATCTAAGTGTCTATAGCGGGTTTACCTTCGCTATACTCACTACGGTTGCGATAGCTGTCCTAAGCTATTAATTCTATAGGCGCCGAGCGCTAGCGTTAGGTATCTATATAGGCGGATCTTCCTTTAGGGGTACCGCTATCCTAATCGTGTGTTACGGGTTGACACTTGACCTACATAACGACCCGCTAGGAGAGGTAGGTCGGGCGAGGAGGCTATAATGTGACGGGAATCCCCGATACACGAGGCTATGACACGTGACGTGCTCTAGTGCTCTGGTGCTCTAGTTGCTCTCTTCTAGAGCAGTAGAGTAAGCAGAGCGGGAGAGTAGGAGATCTTACGAGTATATAGCTACGGTCATTACACCAACATTTTATAGACTCCTCGTAGTCAATAATCATCTTACTACTGCACCTAAAGCTGTTGAACCCTCGAGCCCTCACATCTTCCATATCTATTCGCAAGTACCTATACTTCCGTTCGCGAAACCCAACCACGTCTGAGTCCAAGAACCATTACGCCCTTGGCAGTTCGTAACATCGCGCTTCGAAAAATCTGATCGCGATATAGCTGGGTTTAGTCTATACGAATCCTAGGTTTTACTACGCTTACTTACTATTATATAGGTATTTTACTCGTAAAAGGTCGATCACTAAAACGTAAAGTCGCTAAAGCGGTAATTAACTTTAAAGTCTTTAAAACCGTATTCTTCATCTTCCTAACTATCGCCGTATTCACCTTCGAATTTATTATCTTCGGGTCTACTACGCTTCTACCCACTTACGTCCGATTTACTAGTTTCGGTGAAGACATATAATTTTACACTTTAGCCGTTCTAAACGGAATAATCTTCTTTAGACGAATTCTACTAGGCTTTACTGTAGACAAAATTAGCCGCTTTAAAGTCTTGTTAATCTTAGTATTAACTACTATCTTAATAATGGTAGTTATCTAGTTACCTTTTAGATCTAGTAATGTTAGTACACTTTATACTATTATAGCTTTATTTAAGTTTAGATTAGGAGGGTGGTTATCCCTTACACTAGTTTACGTAGGCTAACTCTGTCGTACGGAGGAGTATAGACGCTTCTATGGGACAATATATAGTATGGCGGCGTTCGGAGCTTTGTTGACAGTTCCTATCGGAGGACAGCTACTCGATTCTACCACACCGACAGTACTTGTTGGATTTTACGCCGCTGTGTTGTTCGTAGGGTTCCTTAGTATTGTACTGTCGCGATGGGCACTACTTGAGTGGAGCTGGAAGTAGAAAATAAATGTCTAGCGACTATTCCTGCCCTAAGGGATGAGTCCCATATCAGATTGGTGCTTGTGAGGGTCTTCGATACTAGGAGGAGTCCCGATATCGGAGGGTCGACGATAGCGGCTAAAAGTGTTGCTTGGTAAGGTTCAACGGCTAGTCTAGAGTCGATTGAGATAATCATTCGGCAGACCAACCTACTGCCATATCTCCACGACCATGGAATGCGTCTGCAGACAGAGCTCGAATGCTTTTATGACCACGATGCACCCAACTACGAGTACGGCTGCAACGCCAGGGAAGAGAAAATGATGCTGGCATTCCGGGGAGGAATTAAAAGGATCGGTGCAATAACCCCTTGAACACAAGGCCGTGGTCGACTTGAATCGATGGAATGTCACCGATCAGCGTTGGGGTTAGTGAGCTAGCGAGTTCTCCAATCATCCTCACAGTAACCTTGATATTGAAACGTGCAAAGGCTTCAGCGCATGACATCTCCACGGTCTGCCAACCGATGATCTCGTCAGTTTGTGTCTCGTAGAGGTTTACCATCCCGAGAAGCATGTCTTCTCGACACTGGTTCTCTCCGCTTTTATTGCCGGAATGATCTTAACGCTAGGTGTGCTGCTTCTAGAGTGTCGGCTCTTGTCGCTCTCTATACGCAGTGAACTAGAGCTGCAAACCCACCGATCAATCGGCGAAAGACAATTAACAATCGGTTTGTGTAGCGACTAGGCTGGCGAAATGGTCTGAAAGGGAGAATTTGTAAGATGTCCAGGCATTAGATGAAGCCTAAATTTACGATGTGCTTAAGCCTACACTTGTACTGAAAGTCATCTGTGGTGTCCCCTTTTAGTTCACACCCAGTGGCCACTTGGATAGCCAGTAAGCAGCTAACAACAAGCCTAACTTGGAGCACGTGATCTCACGTACCCGCTAGATGACTCAGAATCGGCACATTGAAAACACGAAAGTACGGAAGCATCGCCGTGACACCTACACCCATTTGCACTAAGCTTAATTTACACCAAGGTCAACGAGACTTTTATTGTTTAACAGGATTTTTTGTCAGTTATCCAGCATTTTTCAACTCGCGCAACTTTGTCATCACCTTACTAGGCTTAGACTCACCCGTGACCCTCTTCATCTCCTCGAATCGAGTCTACATAAAAACGTTATATTCCTTCTCCTACTTAATCGTAAACCTTCCTTGAGTCTCCTAATTTTCTTCCGTAAACTTCTCCAGCTCCTACACCGCTTTATTTCCCTCTACAACCTTCTTTAGGAACTTAATATTCGACTTAGTGTATTTATACCCGGGGAATACCTTCGTATCGTCCGGTAGCGCCGCGAGGACTTAATTTAACGCCTTTTCTATCTCTTCCCTATTATCTTCGAAGAATTTCCCGCACTTACCGTAGAATAGCGTGTCGCCTGTGAAGACGACGCGCTTATCGCTCAACTTATCCTCAAAGAACTAGTAGATGCTATTCTATATATAGTAAGGGGTGTGTAGCGCTATAACTTCAATATTCTTACCGATGTTGAATTTACTACTATATAAGGGCGTTTTAATTACGCTTATACTATCCTTACCTACGATAACGGGGACGAGCTTAGGGAGGGTCGCGAGGATTGTAGTATTCCCGCCTACGTGGTCCTAGTAGTGGTGCGTATTTATAATAGCGGTTAGATTTAGAGAACTCTACTTTTCGTTAAGCACGGGGATAACTTTAGGAGGGTTCGCTGGGTCGATGATGACGGTGTCTTTAGTCTCATCGTCGCGAATTAGATATGCGTAGTTATAGGATGAGCTAACCCCTTAATGGCTATACCTATCAGCGCCGCTCGTCACGCTATATATTTCTGAGAGGTCACGAATACATGGGGATACTCAATATATACATGTTCCTTACGAGCTGCTGGATGGTAGCTCCAGGATTCCTTCTGGGGGGCTTGTGGCTGTAGCGTGTTAAACGACCGTTCTGAATGCTCCGCGAGTAGCTCTAGTCGACAAGATTCCCCAAGCTGGACGAGATGCAATCGTGAGAGTGGTTTGTACTGTAGCGTTAAAGCAGAATCAGAATCTGAGCTGCCCGACGAGCGACCAATTGCCAGCAAGCAACGTGATTTGATACTGTAGCAATGGCTGCATGGCTCACTGTAAGAGGATGGCTGTGATCACCCTCAGCGCGGCGTCATGATACACGCAAAACTGGTACAAAATAACAGCGCTTACACAACTTCAATTTGCGCGAGAGCATACCTGAACTGCTAGATAGGCGGCTTGTTTCACTAGTATTGCAAAGGCCGGAGCCTGACTAGGACGACCAGTAGGAGCTCCTGAAAACCCTGTTTTCGGGCTCACTCGGTTGCAGCGTGAGAGCCCGGTGGTCTTGATCGATTTATCCACTTCTTCAAATACTCTTATAAGTAGTTGAGGCGCATCAATTGGCTTGTTCGCTTTCACGCCAGTCTCACCAATAAGAGGCTCTATATGTTCCCACATTGATGACGCGGGATCTAACCTTTTCCGACCAGGTACGATGTCTCTCCTTAACAACTCCGCCTGGAGGAAAGATTGACAGGGATTGCTCTGCGCCGAGAAGTGGAACACGAAAGAACGCCAAAGGATGATGAGGAGCACAGGCTTTGAGCAGCACCCATTTAACCAGGTAGTATCTAGTAGAGTCCAAAACCCGGCAGAGGGAGTATCGTACAGCCGTAGCGGGTCCACATCCCGATCTCGGTAACAAATCAAACCCGCTAACTGATGCGAGATACTGCCTTAGTGGTGTACCACTTTTTACGTTCGCTCGACTATTCCGATTTTGGCCTCCAAAGATCCGGCAACACTTCGTATGAGGATCAAGACGGCAAGTTGTTGTCGCATTCTCTCCATGATATGAGGTGCGGTGTCTGTCGGTTCCGAGAGCTGGACAGACCTCTTGATGAGCTTATCCCAAGGGCCGGAAACTTACTCTGACTGGCCACATTGGAAGGGTCACTGGGAAAGCTCAATCGAGAAACAAGCGGATTTGATAAACTTCTACCTTGAGAAGAGCTCTCTCAGGATCGCGGTATATTGACGTTGCTTCTGGTTGTACTAGCCTTGCTCGCGGCAATACAGACAGTTGCGACCAGAGCGGGAAGAAGCTCTCAATCTATTGCAGAGTGGTTTGCAACCACCTCTCCTTTTTTTAGGCCTCGCGTGCAGCATACGCAGGATGTTGAGTTGAAGGTGGATACACGCTTGTGCAATCGCTTACTAATACACTTACCACAAACACCCATGGATACATCTACCCACGGGTCATCTGGTCTGCCATCGTTGAGCTAGGCCTGACGGGTTTACATTCCTGTCAACGCTGGTTTACGAAGCCGGGTCTTAAAAAGAGGACTAGTGCCCTTTATTGACACGTGCCTACCTACACCTGCTACCTTTACCTTGATCTATGATGATAATTCGTGAATCGCCTCCCGAGAACGGTTATATGACCATGTCAAAGGACAATTCACGCCATCCTTCCACTGTGCCGTGCCTTCTCACAGCCCCAGGTGACGAGGAGGCAGAAAAGAATACCACGTTTATGCACTACCTAGGTCCGAAGCGGTATACGGGAGCCTGTGAATTCCGCCAGTCGCAAGAACCTCCTTCCCCGGCACTAAAAGAGCAACATATCTCTGCAAGAATCTGTTTATGAAAATGATTCCCATCTGTCACTGTAGAATGCCGTGGCTGTCGACAACGCAGCTTTGGCATGGCACTCCATGCCAGTCTGAAGCTACACAACAACGGCTCAAGCGCGGAGATCCAGCCCCTGAGCATCCACCAACTTTCGATCGGGCTGACAGGGCAATGTAGATGGTGTTGCAATAATCCAAATATCATTTGACGGGCCAAAAATCGTTTTGCAACCATAGATCTTCTGAGAATCTGCCATTCATTATTCCGCAGTAGCGGGGAAAGTGACTCAGTGCTGCGGTAGCGATATGCGAACGTTGGCCGAACAATATCTTTAAAATCCGTGAGCTCAAACAACCCATCAAACTACAGTAAAAATCTCACAATGAGTCTATCTTGCTCGCGGGATGCTTCTTTAAACAATTGATTGCCTATCGCCCAACCCTGGTATATAGCTCGCCCTTTTAAGGCTTTCTACGAGCTCCAATTTTCAAAACCAAGCATGTCCTGCTCTTCCAGGCTGTCCCAGCGCGAGATCATGGTGGGCTCACCCTCAAATTCCAGCGACAATGGTATACACCAGTTGGTAGAAGCGCTCACAACCGTGTCAGACGAATGTTGAGCACAACAGTAGAGACTTTCGCTTAACTTGTATTCGATCAACTCTGCAGGCTTTCAAAACGATCAATGGGAAGTGGCATGTCGTCAAAAGGATCTTTCCTTAAGAATTGGCGCTTCTCTAGCACCATCGCCGCCGTGGTGTAGGTTGCTATGATTGTAGCTGGGCTGTGCGCCCGGGTTCAGGTAAGAGGCACCTCTGAGATCATGCTCTTTCCTTTCGCCTGCGGTTTTCGCACTTTCCACAGCTTTCAACACTTTGTGAGAAAGTTGTTCAAGATTCCGGCCGCCCAGAAGGTATTCCGCAAGGGTGCCACAACAATCATGTGAAGGTCCAAATTATATGAGGCATACTGTCAAGCGAGATCTTTGGGCCGGACAACATCGTGGAAGATTATCTGCATGGTTGGTATTAAGCTCGGTATAAACATAGCAGCGGGCACATCGATGTGATCTAAAGCGACCAACTTGTTCAGAGTACTGGTCGTTCTGGCTGCGGCATCGCTTGTCCGCTGCGTTGCGATCTTCTGGAGGTGGTTTCGCTCTTCCCCTGCTAGATTCTCACACGTGGTAAGTATGTATGATTGGCGGAGAGCAATAATGACTGCGTTGACGTAAAACGTCAGGTGGCTATGATGTAGCGTCACTACTAAAGAAGTAGAGTCACTCTCTTGTGCGATACTGTTATGTAGTTTCTAAATCTCGCCGTGATCGAGCTCCAACCGAGTAAGTGAGAATGGTGGTCTCCTGGGTCTGTAGTGCAGAAGCAAAACTTCTTCCAATTTCACTGGGAGCCTCAGCAGGGTAATCCACAAAGCTGCAAGATAATCCATGTCAGCGGGCAAGTGGGCATCTTGTAGATGCTTTGGCAGAACTGGGAGCGAGTTTGACAAGTCGCTACTCTGCGGCATTCGTATGTCGGCATCATTCATGTGGAGCCTTATTGGCCTTCTGAAAGCGAAGGCAGCCTAACCCTCTCGATAGTAGCTGCATCACCAGATTCTTTCCCAGAGAGATAGTTTCGATTTTGAGAAAGGACATCGCGTGATTAGTGCGTACTTGGGTTCCCAATGAAGGCCGATACTATGACATACGTTGCCTGAAATTCCAAGCCAATGCCAGTTCTCATGAAGATCCTCCAGATCAACGTACCAAAGGGAAAGTAGAAAGGGCCGAAGAGATCGTCAAGGTCTTGTAAGTCTCCTGCTGAGCATCATATATCGCCTGCGAGCAGTTGAATAGACTCGTTTCTGAGAGTCTTCGGTCAATGATCGCATTACCTTGGCATTATGGAAGCAGTACTCTTTCGGGGACTTCCGCGAGCTGAAGTTTGTTGGCCCAATGCAGTCCGTATCTGCGTAGCTTGCAGATGCAAAGAAAATCGACCAGGTTAGGATATCGCTAGGCCCTCCCCCGGCCTGAGCGTACGTCGTCAAAAACTCCTCCGCGTTGACTACAGGCAGAATGGGTGAACATAGTGGAAGAAAACTCTAATCAAATGTTCTTGAACGTTGACCGGCAGGGACGCCCCACTTTTCTCAAAAATCACTGGCTGCCTTTGGTGAATATGTTGACTGACGAGGTAAGTACTTTCTTTGAGTGGCCGATCGGGTAGGTCAATACCAACCAGAAACTCTAGGCCTTGAGCTTCACCTGTCTACATTTAAGCAGGCGCAGTTTTTGACATAATGGCGGCATACCAGCGTGGTATGGTACGATTGGCCACCTTCCTTTGGATCTTGCGTTGCCTCCTCTCTAACATCGAAAATTATCTCTGTCGAATGCTGATTGACGCTTGTTTGGTCGGCTGCACCGGCTTCTTGTCGATTCTGAGCTGAATTTAGTTGACTCCTGTGTTCTGGCAGACAAATATTGTCGAATGGCGAAACTGCAGCATTTGTAGGTGTCTGAAAGAATACGTCGCCGACTGGTGCGGTAACATGGTTGGGAGTAAGAGAGACCGACTGGATGATCTGTCTAGGTCTTTCGCTCGCGTCGATGGACTGATCCTAGCTGCTGCATGAGGAGTTGAATCACAGTACCTGACTATATCCCACTTACGAAACTGGAGGCCGGCTGTACTTTGCAGACGATTTCATCATGAGCACAGCTGGTACACGTGATCCCGTGCAAGCTCACATTGCAACGGGCTTTGCGATTATGGCAACTCGTGCACAACGTCCTCTTTTCGTTGAATTTGGTCCTGGCATTGTGACACATCATCAGGTTACGAGCAATGGTGAAGTATCGTTCCTTGTTTCGCTCAGTGTCGCACGATCTACCACACTAACCATGTTGCCTAGAATAGAAGATCATGGTTGGCTCAGCCAAACCCGAGCTGAATGATTTAATAGCGTTGCTGGTAGGTTTCAGCGCCAGAGGGACAAAGGCTGAAAATTGTTGGAGCGTTTGTAAGGCGTCCAGGCGAGATTGGCCTGACTTGGAGGGGACTTGGCAGCGAGGTTAGAATGCGGTAGGACTTGCAAGAACATCCCGTTCACTTCAGTTTGCGGGTTGGCTGCGGCTCTACTTAATTCGGCATATATTTAAAGCGAGGTCACCAGTCAAAGACTGATGTGGCTTCTCCAGCAGCCGAACACTTTGAAAGGCCCTTGCCTCACATGAAGCATCCCACCAATTGACGCACACACTACAACTTGGATAATAATAAAGCAGCCAGTAGTTGCGAGTACATTTCTAGATTCACAGGGGGGCCAGACCATTGTGGATAGATCTTCAGCACAAGGGCCAATGAAAAATGCATGGTGGCGGGTGGCAATGTTCTTTCACTGTGCGTATTTTGGTCAGCTTGTCGGCCTACCCATGCTTGCGTATGTTGCAAGTACGCTAGCGCCAGAATCAGCCAACTCGTGAACTTCGCAACGTCGAGAATTTCTTCCAACTGCTTGCCGATGAAGTAAGAGTGAAAAACATGACGTTAATTGCCAAATGGCCTCGTCTATGCGCTTGTCAAGAAGACTTTACCGCCACGTCCATTATTAGAGCACTATTCTGGCGATGTCGACAATGATACTAGCCATGGTGGCCGGAATGTTTAGACACAAGTTGCCATGGAGGCTAAATGCAATCTGCCAATACGCACGAGAACAAGGCCCTGGACGCGCGGACATCAAATCATATCTACCACTAATGGTATTCGCAACAACCTCACTTGGTGACAACCTCTCGAGGCAAACTACCTGTGATCCTCTCGCGGATACCCCGTTGCACGTTCAATAATAAGCGTTCGTGCAGTGCTGGGAATCCAGAAATCCCCGCCATTTTAAAAGCCTTGCATTCACCCTGAAGAAGCCCCGGCCGTGCCTCGAGATGCGTTCCGAACGACAAAATAGTCTCAAACCTACCTTCAAAGGGCGGCCAATCTTCGTGGTTCCCAGGTGTGCCATTTCGGATGAACGATCCATACATACTCCCAAATGAGGCTGAGACTGGTGGAAATAATTCCACATCAAAACCTTCGAAAGCTGGCCACCTCTGAAGGTCTCGTGTTGTAAAGTTCCGCCAAATGAACGGCATGTCTCCAGTGTGGATGGCTCCACCAGCCCTGGGCAGGTCGATGGCGAATTGGAAGAGGTACGTTGGTATTCCTTGATCGGCAAGATTAAGGCCGATACAGATGGAAGAGAGCTTGAAAAACTCCATGGACATGATGTCGTTTAAGAGCTGTCGGTGATCGTGGTCCACGTGCATCTCTTGGTAGCTATCGAGCAAAGCCTCAGCTTGTTCGTCCCCAAACACTTGTGCGAGAACGGCGAGCACATCGGAGCGGGTCCCTGCCATGAGTGTCGGAGAATGACCGCGGAAAAACTGCCATTCGTCTTTGGCGAAGCCGACCATCAATTCAAAGTCCTTACGGGGATAGGGCTTGACTGATAGACACAGGGCTGGATTCTCGGGAACGATAAGTCCGTCAACAACTCCGCCACTCGGGCACCATGCGAGATTCGCATCTGCTGGAAAGAGACGCAACAAGATATTATGGACCGCCAAGAGCTTTTCCACGTCCACTTCCATAAGCTGCGCCGGATCCTCGATCTGCAGCATGTCTAGGTATTTCCGTGCGACCACGGCCGCTTCCGGTGATTGCTGCGTTGCCCAGACGTTGAAGGGCGAAAGGGACTGGGCGATCGCACGTCTAACCAATTTCTGCGCGTCGGGGTTCACAAGCAAATGAGAGACGGCAGTGCCGCCCGCCGATTCTCCACCCACAGTGATGTTGTCGGGGTCTCCCCCAAACGCCTCGATATTTACGTGCGTCCACTTCAATGCCGCGATCTGGTCTTGGATGCCGAGATTTATGGCGTCTTTAACGGAGTTTGAGATGAGGCCAAAATGCACCCAGCCTAGTGCACCCAGTCGGTAATTCGGCCGTACAACGATGATGTCCTCTTGACAAGCCAAGTTATGTCCCCTCTCTGGTAGGAATGAACCCGAGCTAACGATGTTGGCTCCGCCGTGATAGTAAAGGTAGACAGGATATTTCTTCCGTGACTGTGTCTTCAACGGAGCCCATAGATCGAGGTATAGGCAATCCTCGGATATGTCATCATGGTCATAAGTATTGAAGACGTAGGGTGGCCCGGCAATGATGCCAGGAACCCCTTCTCTATCCAGAGAGCAAATGAGCTGCCTGATTCGATCCATATTCTTGCTGTTCGCTTGGGGTGCCGCCGGTCCAGCACATGTGGCTTTGCGTACACCGGTCCATTGAAACGGCGTGGGTGATTTGAAACGGCGTTCGCCAATCGGCGGACATGCAAACGGCACGCCGCGAAAGACACGAACTTGACCTTCGACTTGGCCTTGGAGGATGCCACAAGAAGTCTGTACGGTGGTCCCATCGTCCATGATTTGTGAAGAAATATGTGAATATGAGAAGAGAGGCTACAAGAGTACCTGTCTCATGAAATGCTGACAACGGGCATGGATTTTATTTAGGGTTGGACACATGCACATGCAAGCTAACGCAGGTATAGGGTCAAGTCCATGCTGGTCGGTCTACATGGGTTCGAGGGACTCAGGAAGGTGGCATAGTGTCACATTCGGAAATGTTTCTACGGAGTTGTGGCCTTAATAGGTTGGAAGACAATGAGTCAATTTACCCGAGACCTAGGCGGGGATAAGTGCATCCTGCCCGAGAGGGCCTGTTGTGTTTTGTGCTCCATGATAATCACCGAGCGTACTAGTGCGCATGCCGTAGGAGGTTGATTTCTGTCGTCTAGAACAATTACTGCATGAATACGTCATCTACACACCTCTCAACAATAGAGGCGAGGTTGTCTTGTAGGCACTAGAACTCAAACGCTATAGAGTAGAAACATCCCGTCTTGAATGTTAAATTAGTCAACACGCAAGGAGAACCGGGTAATGCCTCAGCGAATGAAATGCTGATTATTGCATGTGGCTCCTCCACAGTCAGGGGGACGTTCAATGTGATGGGTTGAACCCATGGAGGCCGTTGGCTATACCAAGGACTACCCCTACACGTGACCTGTACGACTGGCTGTGCGATAGAAGCGAAGGGTTACTCTAGTAACCTAAGCGATATCGATAAGCAGGAGTTTTTACTCCTACTCTAGAGCTCGTACTCTCTCTCTTTCTCTCTTTAGCTTAGAATCCTAGTTATATAGTAGCTATACGAATCGTATGATTTATAGCAAAACCCTTACAATAAGCTCTTATCTATAGCGCTAGGGGATTATTCTTTTTGAGAGAGATAATATAGCTTTAGCGTCTTTCGCGAAGCTACCTTAGGCTATAAGGGAATCCATCTAAACTTAGAGTCGTTACTAATAGACTAGAGCTCATAATAAGACTAGATTAAAGGTATTATATAGGTATATAAAGAGATTAAGCTAGAGATAATTATAGTATCTACTACTTACTTTACTAATAATTAGGATAAGTAGGATAATTTACTAGGCGATAAGATTAGAGTACGAGATTATTTCTCGCTAAAGTAGATATAGAGAGAGTAGTTCGCGAGACTAGCGTAAAGTACTATATAATCCTACGTCTCGCGTAGTTTTACGCTAAATATTTACTTTCGTATAGCGCCTAGTATTTCCTAGATCTTAGTAGCGATAAGCTTATATATTCGTATGAAAAGAGTATAAAGATAGTGTATATTAACGAAGACGATATTACTAAATATGACGCCGCTATACTACTAGATCCCGCTAAATTTAGAGAGTAGGAGATCGAGCTTAGAAACGAGAACCTAACTATTAAAGATGTAGATAATAGCCTTAGTAAAGTTTATAGGTCTAGCTACTATATTAGAATTAGGAAGCGTACGCGAGAGGAAACAAACGAGATACTAAATATTATCTCTACTTAGCTATTTTAGCTATAGGCTAATATAGTTAATATTACTATTAACGGGTAGCGATTTAAAAGAAATACGGTATTCGCTTATTGACCTTCCAGGAGTATTTAGTAAGAGAAAAGGAGCGACTGCTAGAGTTAGTCCCTTCCTCGGCCGAAATATAAAGAAGATAGGTTAGAAGTTTTAAAGCTCACACTTCCAATATAACGTTTAGGGTCATTGCGCATTAGGTGTTAAGGTAAGCTACGGGAGCCGGGTTCGCTCTATTTAGAGCGTTTTCAGCGGGTCTTGTACTGGTCGCATTCTATCTCCTGTTCAATGAGGACCTTAACTAGAAGCTGAAGGCCTGAGTAATATGCTTGAAGTCGTTCTTTTCACTTGTTCAGATAGACATTGGGCCAGTGGGGCTGAGGAAGTGAAATCATTGAAAGGTCGTGGATACCCCGTGAAGAAATACATTACTTTTGCGACTTCAACTCACCTTGAAAGTTTGCTGAAGCTTTATCTAGAAGCACTGAGGCTGGATGTCATCTCCAAGGTGGCATGTGGCTGAAGAGTCCAACATATAGCTACGATTGCGCTTAGTAGTCAAGGGAGTGGGCTTAACTCTGCGCTTTGTGGTGGCTCGTTGGAGTATTGGGGGATGATTGAGCTCGTTTGTAGTTGCCGTCTCAGAAAGGTATATCACTTCAACTCATTATGCTATGGTCCTGGATGGAGCTTTCTTCAATATCAATGTGGTCTGTGCAAGGACATTTCGGAAAAATTACGTGATTGCCTCGAGAGTGCTGATTTCTGGCACTGTTACTCTTCCCTATAGCATAGTTGAGTTGATGGCCTGAACAAGTATGAGTTTATCTTCGTTGTACATCTTAGACTCTTGTCGTGGTGAATATCCCTGGAATTTCATAAGGGTCTTCGAAGCACTTAGGATTAGAGGAAGGAAATTTTCCGTGAGAACTGATTCATATTTGCAAATGGAGGTACCTGAGGCAACGCCGAGATTTTTCGTAAACAGATGGGTGTCTAATAGTTTGGACTGATTTGATAGCAGGTGCTATTGCCGAGTATATTGGAAACAAGGATATGTCGTCTGTGTGGAAAGATGGCTCGCAAAGGTGAGACCGAAGTGTCGTAGATGTGTGATACATGGTGAAGACAGAGATCACCGTCCTCAAGAAAGACTGCCAAAGCCCTCGGCCCAGCTAGTATCACACTCTACCTGGACCACGTGATGTAACTTCAAGGCAGTGTGAAACACCGCGCGCGCAATTGTGTTAGATCCCCCTCCTTTACTTGCGAGAATTATAAGGACAGGTTGGGAAATTCCCCGGTGCGATAAGAAATCGAATGACACGCGATACAGCCGATATAATTATCTTATCCTTAATTACCTGGTATTCCATTCTGTACGACAAAACTGTGTAACGTGGATTTGCGGCGGGCCACGCGACATGAAGGGGTCTGTCACGAACGACAGTCCACCCAAACCCTTGAAGCGACTAAGCTACTTTAGGAAGAGTACTTCTTGCCTCTCACCCCCTGAGAGTTACATCGACTTCTCCAGTTGAGACAACAGCCAAAGAACAAACGATCCCCTCTGCAAAGTACTCGTCCTACTCTATCTATCGCTTTAGGTTTGTGCCATAGCATTCTGTGAGGCTTTTCTTCACTCTTCTAGGATAGCAAAACAGTTCGTCTAGTGCAAACTCTGCAGCAAAATTTTGCTACTACTTCTCTTAGTTTCGATCACCTCTAAAATTCAGAGTCATACCAACTAGCTTTGTCCTCCGAAAAGTTCGCAGCGAAGACGGCCTAACATGAAGGTCAAGATAGAACCTTACGACCCCCAATGGGCGCTCACCTATATCGAAATCCGACAGCAACTCCTACGTATCTTGAGAGGCGTAGCCCTAGTATCCATTGAGCATGTGGGAAGTACATCCATCCCCATGCTTAAGGCCAAACCAGTGCTCGACATCGACATTGTTGTACATCCTTCTTCTCTTGAAGCCACTCGCCATGCGCTTGCGAACGGGAAATACACCGATTGTGGGGAAATGAACGTACCGGGACGGTTCGTCTTCCGACAACCAGGTTATGGACGGTTAGAGGCAGCTCATGGATTTGGCAAGAACGGGGAGCAGCGTTACAATACCTACGTTATGCTCGAAGGCTGCACGTCCCTGAGGAATCATCTTGATATGAAGAGAGTACTTCTGGAGAATCGAGAGCTACGAGAAGAGTATGGACGTGTCAAAAGCAAATTGGAGGAGAGAGATTTCGATAATATTGGCCAGTATGTATTGGAAAAAACGGAAATCCTGTGCAGGGTTTTACGGACCGCGGGGTGGAGTGAGGAAGATTTACAGCCAGTGATCGAGTCTAATTCTTAACATGCCAGCTGTGGCATTATGACATGAATAAATGAGGCAACTGCGACATGATAGGGCTCCTTTAGCGAAGTAGCACGGACCAAGGGGTTACTATTGGTGAAGCAGGTCGAGAAATGGTGAAGCATCGTCGAAGTCCCCTTCCTAGATGAAGACTTGACAGCATACAGCTCACCACGCTGCTGTCTCACTATTGCTTTTAGAGCCGTTAGGGCGCAGGAAATGCGACCCATCCATGTCGATCATCCATTTCGACCGGACATCAGGTAATATCTTACGCTCATTTCCGGAAGCGCTTCGGAAGAAAGCAGCTGCGAACCCAGTTTGAGAAAGAAATGTTGTTGAACTATCTGCATTCCGACACGCGATTTGCAGTTCTCGTGTGGCTGTGTAAGAACTTTTGTGGAATTTTTTCCCCTGAAATGTTGGACAGCTTCACCCACGCAGTATCTGTCCAGGTTTGTTCTGAAATGTTGCTAGTTCTTTGGTCTCATGGAAACCACTTTACGTAGAGACGTCTTACAAGCCAAGGAACATGTCCTCCTCGTCCAGCTTCATGACAGAATGGAGGGTCGAGAGAGATTTCTTCAAGCAAATTTGATTGATCTGGTTGTCCTCTTCTCCAAGAGAAGGAGGAAACAAGTACACAATTGGTAATAATTTGGGTTGATCCCGCCACATTGATCGCGTTGACACACGCTCCCCGACGTAAGCTGCCAAGGAGTTCTAAAGATTTGTCTAATTGCCTTACACTTCTTCTCAAACCGTTCCAGACACCGTCCGCAGCCCGAAACGCCATACCCGAGTAAATATTCGTACGGCGGTGACCCTACCTTTGAGTTCAAGCACAGTCCCAATGGGAGATTTTCGGCCATATTGAAGGTAATACTCTGAACAGGTTAGAGACACGTAAGACGGAGGAAATATGACCCGAAAAAACGCGGCATTTCATTGGTTGGTTGTCTAGAGATGCGAACAAGCCAATCAAAATCATTTCTCCACCCGTGCCAAGTCTTTTGTCGTCCACCTTGCTTTTGCCCATCTGAAAACTCCAAAAATACCTCCTACATCATCTTCCAATAGATGTACTCCCTGTCGGCTGCTAAGTAATGGCACCTGCTAACCAAGTGGTTATCCTAAGGTCAAAATCCAGAAGAGGCTGCTTGACGTGCAAGTAAGTTTGTCCCATGAAAATCCAATCCCCTAGATCTCGCAACTGATTCTCGCCAGACTTCGGTATAGTATGATGAAGCCTGAATGTCGCAGCACTAATTAGATCCCCTAGACACGTCAAGTGTGACGAGACGCGACCATCCTGCCTGCGATGTACGAACACTAAGAGGACGTGCGAAGGTTACCCGTTACTGTCGCAATCGCTTTCCCCACAAGCCCAAAACCTTCGTGATGAGGAGCGCAGGGCTTTCTTGTTTTTCAGGACCCGGACCGTTCACAGAATCTTCGGACTACAAGACGCAGATGACTGGGTTCCTGTTCTGGTTCGACTTGGGTACATCGAATCCTCAATAAAGCACGCCCTTATTGCACTCGCTTCGCTCCATGAAAGCTCGGAGCCCGTGGGCAACTTTGTATTGTGCCACAAGCCTCTGAAGCACGTTACAAATGCTGCACAGTCATTGGCTTTGAAGCATTACAATGAAGCGATAAGACACATTCGAACCAGTTCTCTTGACATGTCTTCCCGGCCGGACATAATCCTGGTGTTATGCATTCTATTCATGTGTTTTGAACAACTTCGGAGTGGTGATGCAGCATGTCTAACTCATCTGACAGCAGGGCTCAACCTCCTCTATTCGTGGAGATCCCGTACAATTGACTACTCCAAACTTCAAGCTTTCTCCAGGCCGACACGGGATCTGATTAATGGATTGATCACACCTACCTTACAACGACTCCGTGTTCAATTTGCATTATGTATGGATCGTCGACATTCCAATATATTTCCTGACCGATCTCCCTGGCTCCCTCCTCCTGGCATTCCACTTTCATATGATTCACCTAACGCAGCCAGAATGGATTTTGATCGTGCGATGAATTATGTATTTTTAGCTCTTAAACACGACCAATTGTTGAAGCACTCAGTATCAAACCAGAATCTTACTGACATTTTGCAACGGTGGAAGTGGGTACTGGATTCTTCTAATTTCCGTGAGGGCACAGCCTTCCAAGTGTGTTCGAGGAAATTATTACACCTCTACTACCACGTTTCAATCATAATCATAGAGACGTATTACACAAACGCCGAGACCATTTTCGATGACTACACCTATCGGTTTAAATTGATCATCGATCTTGCTGAGGAATTCATCCAAACCTGGAAGACTGCGCCGCAGCAGTACAGCTTGCTGTTCAGCTTCGATCTGGAATCACTCCACCCATGTTCTTTGTCGCTTCCCGTTGCCGCTGTCCAGAACTACGACGAAAGGCTGTCCGTCTCATGCTGCAATCAGACCTTTACCACGGAGCGTGGCGTGATCGGTACTCCGCTCTCTGCGCGCAACGGATCATTGATATTGAAGAGGAAGGGCTCAACTCAGACGTTGAACACGCTTGTCTGCCTGAAAAACATCGGATTCAAAAGCTCTCGGCTGATCTTGAAGAGGAAAGTGGGCAAATTACAATGCGATTTGTTCGGCCACCATTTAGCCCGCAATCGACTATATACACAACTACTATCACTCTCATCACCCAGGATTCATAGCGGCCTGACTATACGTTCTTTCTTTAATGAATTGAAACCCTATCCAAAATGTGTTTCATTAGTGTATATAGACTAATGATTGTTCCCATACAATTTGTATGAGAGGCCAACCCTAAGGCTTAGCATAGAAACTTTAGACTAATTGTTACGAACCAGGTCACTTAAAGGGTCGCCAAGGGAGTCAAGACGACCGTCCGAAGGAAGGAAGTTAGCCGATGGAGAACGAGGCTATATCACGTGACTTGGCAAGGCTGGATCTCCTAGGATCTCAAGGATCTCGTGAATCTCGAGGGAGCTATAGAGAGTCGTAAGATCTAGGCTAAGCTACTAGCACTATATATACGCGATCACTACTTTAGATAGGACTACTCGTAGTTAACTTCGTTAATAATCCTATACCTATATTTAGGATAATCTAGAACTAATATTACGAGAGTCAAGATATAGGCCAAGTCATGTAGGTACCCATGGAATCTTCTAAGGAGGAAATCCTAGGAAAGTTTGCCGACGGGGCTATACGAGGCTAGGTCACATGACTAAGATATCCCGAAAAGGAAATATTAAGTCCAATGGAACTATAAATCATTAGAATAAGGGAACATAGGAATATAGACGATGTTACGAACCAGGTCACTTGAAAGGTCGCCAAGGGAGTCAAGGCACCTGTACCAAGGAAAGGAAGT